AGTCACCCAGGCTATGTTGAGACGTCGTGGTGTTTAAATGACTTGCCGTGGTTGGCATGGGAACTTGGAGTAACTTGCGTCCTCGTTGGGTGGGTAGGTCGCATGCCGGCAAGCTGTAGCATCCTGGGCAAAGCATGGTTGTTGTGGAGCAGCCCCCGCCCATATCCTTCAAGAAGACTTTCAGTGAACCACTCGAAGGCCAGTTACACCCTTGAGTCCTCTAATTGAGCTAGGTCCAAAGCAACCCAGCGCCCTAAAGCAACTCAGCAAAGTCGTGGAGGCTACATGCGGCCCAGGGCGCCGTCTCTTCGTATGATGATGAACCTCACGAGTGATGATGACTTCCAGGCAGCCGTCGGTTTCCACCACTTTCCCTGCCTCGCCATGCCCCCAATGTTTCTGCTAATGCCCATGTTCGCCCTGTGCTACCCCTGCGCGCCCCCCTGTGGTGTGGTTTGGGGGTTAGGGTTTAGGGTTTAGGGTTTAGGATTTAAGGTTCAAGGTTTAAGGTTTACATAAGTTTAGGGTTTCGGTCAAAGGTTTAGCCCCCCCCCTGCCTGTGCTGTGAATGGAATGGGGGCTTGGCATTTGGGGTTGAAGGTTTACGATTTAGGTTAAGGGTGTGAGGTTTAAGGTTGGGTTGGTTTAAGGTTTAGGGGGGAGGGCGGGCGGATACCATGCTGCGGGGGGGGGGGGGGGCCCATGCAAGGGGATGCCTTGGGAGGGGCGGGATGATACCATGGGGGGGGTAGGGCCCGGGAGCCCGAGACCATATATGATCATAGTTTGTCTGCCCCAAGCGCCTGCCGAGGCGAGTTTTGTGATGGCGGGCACAGTCTACCAAGTTTTCTTGTTGCTACCACTGTGGGTTTCGTTGAAGCCCCATATTGTCTCCATAGTCGTTTCTGGCCCATCAATAAAAAGCATCAGGCCCTGTGAAAGTTGATGTGTGGAGCGCTGGCAGGTCATCGCGGAAGAAGGGCTGGGTCGTGCCACTTTGCCTTATTTTATGACCATGTCATGATCATCATGATAAAGCAGTTCTGGACGTAGAGGTCGGGAGCCGCGATGGCCTAAATTTATCGCCAAAACACTTTGCAGCAAATCGTAGAGAACCCACAATAGACACACAATGTCCTCGTCATCGAAGAACCCCAATTTTGGCGCGACTTAGTTTGCAAGTTGGCGAAGCAACAGCCTTCTGTTGGGTGTTGTGGGGTATCGACATGCTTTCGGATTTCGAGCATGGGACGCGGGAGGCCATGTTCTGTTCTCTCCGCTGTGAAGCTGCAGTTTCCTTCTTCAACTTGTGACACTTCAACATGCTGGACCTTCAGCCCCCAAACCACGGTTCCTTTTTGACCCATGCCATAAATTTCCGGTTTCGCACACGCTGCATCTCGCTCCGAGGAAGGTAGCACTCGCGGATCATAGGACAGCTGCGTTACGGTCCTTAACACCGGACATGAGCATTTCAATGGAAGTCGTTGGCCTCGGTTCACGTCGATCATTCTGTGGATGTGACGGCAGGAGATGCTGAAAGGCGTGGGACTTCCCTCCTGAGATCCTGAGATCCTGAGATCCTGTTAACACTGGCCCGTAAACTTTCGGAGAAGCTCCCCAACAAAGACTCAAACGCACCGGCCCAAAACGAGCATCTGGAGAATCTAAGCTGTAAGCGCCCTGAAGAGACTTGGCAAATTTTAATTCACCCTCTCACTGAGGAGCCAACTGGCATTTGGATGATTTTGATGAGTAATTTCAGTTCCCACGTGTACTTTAAGCAGTACTCTCTTGTTAGTCTCATTCCTGTATTTGCGAAAGAAGATCGTGAGCAGAGTAGCCATGACTCCATGAGCATACGGTGTCTAGTAGCCGGCAGAAACCGGACCAACCTCTGACCTGTCAACATTCCCCGCCGACCGAGCTCCTGAAGTTCTTGGGCTTTGCCAAGCAGCCTCAGAGCTCAATTAGAGCTGCGCGAGCTTGCGCTGTACACCTTTGCACCTCTGGGCCGTTCAAACTGAGACGTAGCCGCCTTCTGTGGAGAGAAGCCATGGAAGCCAAAGCTCCACACTTCGCATGGCTGGGGTCCCCAAAGACTTCCGCAACCCACTGGGGTAGAAAGACTTCGACAGTGAAGCCGGTGAAACTAAACCAAAGCCACTTAAAGTCTGATCCCGGAAGCCTGGCCCTGCCATGCGCATACCCCAATGGCGTCGGACTCTCAACATCTGGTCCCTTCCCAGATCAAGATCCTGACTCCGTGCCTGAGCTTGCCAAAAGTTAAAGAGGGACCATCACTCAGAGAGATCTGGCAGCCTGATGCATTGCTGCAACGCCACGAAGCTGGCGCTGGCCGTGCAAAGAAGCCGGCTGCACAACAGCACCGCGCAAAGTGTAAAGGAGAAACCGAATCCTCGCGAAGTGAGACCATACTTACTCACCCGCCGGTATCAGAGGAATGAGGTGCCATCACCTTGAGAAGTTGTCTGTGGATGTTTTTGACTTCGAGATGAGGTTCTGCAGTGGTTCTGCACTACGGGCTTCGTTCGCCCCTGAAAACACAGATTCATGAGATGTAGCTGGTAGAAACTGTGGTGTGCTCTCCCCAAGCATGTCCTGCCTCCCCACGCAGGCAGATGGCAACTACCCTGCAATGTTCGATTGCAAGAGCCCTGGCCGGCCTCACTTTTGGTTTTGGGCTGTTACGTGCTTTTGCATCTGCAAAGCAGCTCGACGCTCGAAGTGGAAAGTTAGATCGTGCTGTGAGCTGCTTGGTTTGTCACAGGAGTCAACTGAAATGGAACGCCTTACCACATCTTTCCGCATCTTACCACATCTTACCACATCTTACCACATCTTACGGGACCCCTTCTCTGAGAGGCGACATCCCCATGCCACCTGGCGGTGATGCAGCAGCGGGCCAGGCCGGGGCCGGAGTGGCCGTTTTCGGGACCCGGTACTGCCTGTACGGACCTGTGTTTCAAGTGCCTTTAAGAGAGCTTTCATCAAACCTTCAGCATATGGCTATGTTGCGGCTTTTTATGACTGCCTCCAGTGACAGGGCTCTTCATGCAGCGATCCCATGTCCTCAATCCTCGCGCACAGCCACCAGCCAGGCCTGGAAGAAAGAGCCTCTTTGATGTTTAGGTCTCGGAAGATTTCAGGGGTTGTCCTTGGCGAGGAAGGTCAAGCATGAACCGCTTTGCATCTGTGGGCGGGCATGCAAGGGCTGGTTCAGACTGAAACTGTTTTGGATTTGTGTGGAGTGCCTCCTACGGTGGTTGGGGACTCTCAGAGGCACAAAGCACGCGGGCAAGAACTCCACACTTCGAATGAACCCCCTTCACCAGGGGTTGCTGCTTTACGTCAGCATTTGTTTTGGAAAGCGTGCCGTGAGCCACGGCCATTCTGCTTGGCGAGCAGAAGATCTTCTGAGCGACAGCCAACGTAATCCGCCAACTGTGCGTAGTTTGTGTGCGCAGGAAGCCCATCCACGGCTGCTCCCGCAGGCATTGTTCCTGTTGTGCTGGACTTTTCTGGAAGCGGCTGTTGTCAGGCTTGTAGGCGAGGTTACGGGGGTTATGTTTCATGTTTCTGACACTCGGCATCTTGACGTGCGGTCTTCAGCTTTGATTTACCATGAATTCCTAATTACATCTTGTTAGTTTTCGTTTCTTGTTTGATGTTTGTCTTTGCTTACTTGCTTCTTGGAACCCCAAAATCAGATCAATGAACCCGAAATCACTCATCTTTGCAAGTATTTGTTCATTAAAAAGAGCATTACTTCTAGCTTTTTGAATTAGGCTAACATATGCAATCTAAGGTCTCGCTCTCTAGCATGAGACTCTGAAAGCGGCGCACCCTGCAGACCATTCAATCCAAAACACATAGGATGAAGCGGGGCAGGACATAAATTGAATCTTCATCGAATCTTCCACAGGAATTCACATGTACACTTAGCAGCACCAACCTTGTATGCTTTCTGGACATGCGCTCGATTCGTGTTCTTCTCTTTTGGCATAGGACGTTCTTAAGGTTTGTTAAGAGGTTTCCACGCTTTCTCGTGACAGCAGGGTGGGTTTCACAACTATAGGGCATACTCAAACCCCAGTTGGAGGGGGCTACCAAGTTTAGACTTCGGACTATTCACTACCAGCTGTGAACCTTCAGTGTTGTTGGCTCCCAGGCTCTTATTTATGCGGCTCAGACACCATCTTCTCCAGATTCTAGCTTGGAAGGAGTGTGGTAGGGTGTCAGGTTAGGATGTCAGATCTGTGGTTTGCTGAGCTGAAGTATGTGAGTTTCAAAGTTGGGAGACTGGGAGCCACGCCGCGCCTTCAGAGCCATGGCAAGGCTGCTGCAAGCTCCCCCTGTTAAACAGGACGTGAGCTTGCCTGGCTGTCCGGACAACGGGCGAAGTAGCCGTCCGGACATGTGCAGTGACATCTCGCCGCTAACTCCAAATGCCGCGCCTCCATCGTTGACGAGCACAAGGGAGCTGAGCCAGCAAGCACCAGAAGGAGCAGACAAAGCCGATGGCTGCAGGGACGACAGGAAGAGCAATTTCGATAGCCTTGTCCCTTCAGCTGTTCGTGAGGACGAGTCGAACCTTCTGCAGGCAGTAGGCCAGCACATGGCAACTTACTTGCTGGACCGCTGTCGAGGAGGGAAGTCGCGATGCCGGCGGCTGGCTGAGAGCCTTTTCGTGGTGCTGCTTATACTTCTGATTGCTGTTGTATCGGTTGGCCCCTTCCTGGTTCCAATGGGAGCTCCTGATGCCATGTTGTGGGACAGCTGGAGCCATCTGCTTCTTTATGTCGTCTTTGTGAGTTACACAGTAGGCTTCGGCGGGGTGCAGCTGGGCACTCGTGGCTTGCTCGCGAATTGCCGCAGTCACCGTAATCCTGGAGTTGATTTGGAACAGTGCTGGGATAGCTCCGATACCGCTGGAATTTCTTGTCGCCCGGGTCCCGGGCTTGCTGGCAACATTTGTCATGGCGTCCTTTTTGATGCCATCACACCTGCGGTCGAGGAACCAGCAGTATCTACGATTCCTTGTAATGTGCACTCTTCTCTGGGGATCCTTGGAGGCGTTCCTGCTCGCTTGGTGGGTGTCATTTCCTTACTTATCTGGCATGGCTCAAGGCTTAAGTTCTGTTGGTGTCACGGCTTTAGTTTCCGCCATCAACGGCGGCCTGAAGCGTGTTGGTGACCGCTGTTTCGACCTGCCGAAGGATCTTACTACCGAGGTGCAGGTGTTCGCACTGTTGCCTTCCTTCTTGTTTTCCACGTCGCTGATCGCCCAATCCAAGAGCATCGCCGTGCTCTTGTTGCTTGCCCTGCTTGACGCGGGAAAGGCATTGGCCATGGCATGCATCTCGTTCGCGGAGCTTGTGGCTCTCTACGAAGCTGCGGAGAATTCGGAGGAACCGCAGGACGGTCAAGATCATGCGTTGAGAGGTGGACAAAGCAACTGCTGCGGAAGTATCAATCACAAAGCTAGCGTTCGCAAGAAGCTTGAGAGCGTCCGAGCTGTCCTTCACAAACTTCGTGCGTTCATATCTTCTGTTGAGGAGATGACTGCACAGCAGCTTAGAGAGATGCACATCAGCAGCTCAGACGCCCGGCAGTATGGACATTTCGCTCGAAGTTTGTCCCTCCTGGTCACAGTGGAACTCTTCGAAACGGCTGTGCCTGTGATTTACCTCATGATGTCTATTCTTCTGACAAGTGCACCTTTCGGGGCGAACAGGCAGTACTTTTTAATCTTTTCTGATGAAGAGTATGCAGGGGCTCAGGGCACCCTGGGCCTGGTGTGGGCCCTCTTGATTGAGTTAGGGGTCTACCTGGGCCTTCAAGTTGCTCTTCTGGCTCTGACAGGGGTCAGTTTCTGGGAAGTCACCAGTGTGGTGATCAGGCAAGACTTCATCTACTGGTCGAGCCTTCTAGTTGGAGCATTCCAACTCTGGTTCGTGGTCCTTGTGGAGCACGGTGGATGTTGGTTTGTGTTGAAATGGCTCAGGAATGCACTGGCGTGAGCTGCAATCGGGCGGGCGAGTGAACAAGTGCGTTTTTCAATGGCTGGGCATCAGACTCGTTGCGAGTATCGCTGTTGTCCTCCGTTGCATCTGATTTAACAGGTCATTAGATTTGAACCATCCTACGTCCTTCGCTCCCGCCAGCCGTGGCACCAACGCCGACACCACCGAAGGTCCGAAGGCGCTCTGTGGGTTTTGGAGGGGATGAGTCGTGAACTCGAGTCTTGGACCTCGCAAACAGTGTGCTTCGCAAATAGGTCTGGCAAAGCTTCAAAAACAATAACACAGCCCAGGGCACAGGAATACCGAATACCTCAACCCGGAGTTTAACTGTGGCTCCTTTATTGGCAGTTCCCTAGTTCCCCTCAGTTCCAGCAAACTCCTCTGGGTGCCTCAATCCTGAAGCACAATGAGCGTTGATGCATGAGGTGCGCGTCCCCTCCAGTGTCGAGCAAGGTCACGCCAAGGACGTGCCACCTGAAAGAGTCAAAGATGCAGCTTTCCATGATCATGCCTTTGGTGCATTTCGCTTGGACACCTGGGTTTGAATGGCCATGACACGAGCTCCGACGAATCTGAAAACCAACTCGGAGGCTGAGAATCTCAGATGCTTGCCTGCAGTTAAAGTTTTTTGGAGGACAACCGCTCGGACACCTTGCAACCCACGAGCAGCGGGCCAAGATTCACTGGCTCAGGGTGGGTCTGGCTTGACAGAGGGGATTATAGGGCAACGCTACTTGTTTCGGATGTTTGGAAGGCTCGTATATTGACTTTAAAGAATATAATATATATATATATATATATATATATTAATATAATATAATATATAATTTATAATATACAATATAATATATATATATATATAGATGTGTATATATATATATATATACATTCATTCAATTGGCTTTTGCGCGCTGCTGGAAAGCTGCAAGGTCGGCGGGCCTGCTGCTGCCATGGCATCCCCAGCTTCGTCCAGCTCCTACACGTTGGAAGTTGCCGCGCAGCCTGCAAATCACGTTCGCTAGCACCTGCTGTTCGAGCTCAGGACAAGTGTGGTTATTACGGTCATGGCAAATGGCAATGTGTCATGTTGTCACCATTCTTCGTGAAGATAAAGCTCTTCCCAGAGAGCCTTTCGTTGCAATACCCAGACCTTGTCACGAAAGGTAGCCCCCGGGAGCGCCTTACCAACCATCAGGTTGAACAACAAGGGTGTGGGGAGGGGGTCCAGCTGGGCCCACCTGGCTTCGGTGTCCAAGCTTTTCAGATCTTAACTATGATTTTTATTACTACTATTATTATTGCTACTATTATTTTTATAGGTCTTAATGGTACCTTCTCCGCCTGCAATGCAGGATGCAGCATGGACTCTTCGGGCGCTTAGGCTAAGCGCCCTGTTCAGGAGCAACAACTTGCCTTGTTAATTGATTCCTCTCCAAAGAGCAGCATCGAAACCACCTTACTACATCTCCAAGCGCAGCGTCGACACCCATGTGCGGGTGAGCTAAATGCTCCTCCATCCTCCAAGAGCAGTGTCGGAACAGGGATTCTTTGCACTCTAAGGTTGGGCACTCCAGGATTCTTTTGGGATACTCTGACTTGCACTCCCGGGGATTCTCTGGGATACTCTTGGGCTGGGCAGCCTGGGGTTTTCTGGGTCACACTCTGCATTCTGCAGTGCTTTGCGGAATGCTCTTAAGCCTGGGCAGTCCAGGGGTGCTGCGGGTGTTGGCTTGTACTACGGATCAATCCAACCTTTTGAGACATGGTCCCATGGTCCAATAGTACGAAAAGCGATTTGGGCCCCGCCTAGATGTTAATATCAACGCATTTCGCCCTTCATAATCTTCATTGATTGGCTACCTTCTGAGTGCACTGGGTAGTCAACTGCAAGTCTCACTTGCCTGTTCGGTCGACGCTGTTGTCCTGTCGCTTCTCCAACTGCACTAACTAGCTTTCGTTCCGGCCGTCCTTATTTCTATCCTGCGGGCGAGGCTGTTTTTCGGGCCGGGGCGGGGGGGGGGAGGGAGGGGCAGGGGTCAAGGGACAGGATCCCAAAAATCGGGTGATCGGGCCGCCGGAGGTGGAGTGCTAATGAGCATTACCATTGTGAAATCCGCACGGAGTCGCCTGCGCTCTGCAACCCTTAATTCCACACCTGCACAACCTCTCTGCAACTGGTAGGCCGCGCACAGCTACTGGGGGCTATCCGAGTTCCACCAGGCTTGCGCTTTTTTGTGGCGATCTCGGTGCAAGTGCTCTTTCTTGACAACGAGATGCTGACAATGATGCTGGCCATTCTCATGGTTATCACCAACCCACCCATAGTAATCCAACAGATTACGGGGGCACCCGTATCCCCCTGCATACCCTGAAACAAACAAGTAACTGTCCATGTTTCGCATGTCTTACCGGTAGCCAAATGGGGCCAGACTCAGACAATCAGCAGTGCATGTACTGCGGGACACTGGGAGCATGTCGTGGGGTTTCTTGCGTTGCGGAAGCTCCAAGTGGCAGGACTCGTCCTGCTCGTGCACCGGGCTCGCCGCCTGCCAGCTCTGCCAAGGCCAAAAAGTCAGGAAGTCCCTCTTAAGAACGTTCTAATTACTCTGAAGTTTCATTGACGCTTACGACCCAAGCGGCCATCCTGGGACCTGTGGAAAACGTGTTCTCAGTATGTAACTTAACACAGCGTGGTGACAAGCTCATGAAGCTTCTTCCTTCACGTGTGCTGCACAGTTTGGCCTGCCGACTGCAAGAACTGAAAGAACTTAGGACCATCCAAAGACCTCGAACTCCTGGACCCTCAACTCGGCTTTACAACATTCACAACCCCCGATTTTGAGCCGACGAAGGCTCCTGAAAAGCTCAAATCGCCTTCCGAAAATTGCCTTCATCTCTGCTGCCTCGCCAGGGGTATGAGAGCTCACCCCCCTCCGCCCGCCGCACCAGCGCATCTACGTCCTCTTCTGGGCTGGGGTCCCAGATCTTTGGGTGAGTCCGCCGAGGCCGATGCAGGGATCTGATGGTTCGGCACTGGTCGCCATGCGTTAAGCGGCAAGAGCGAGAACAAAAGCCTGAAGTTCCACAAAGTTCCACAAGCCCTCTGTGGGCTTCTTTGCGGTTGCAAGGCCCCAGTGTCATGCAGCTGTTGCTGCAGCAGTCGCCAACAAGGCACCTGTTTGCGGAATTCGGAGATCTGAAAGGTTTTGATGCTTCTGTTACACTGGTTGCAGATTGGGGATTGTGAGTTGGTGTGACCGTTGTGACCGTTATCGTTGTGTGTTTTGCGTGTTTTGCGCCACTGCGGACCATTGCGTGCCATTGCTGGCCGTTCCCCAGCGCACTCCGAATCGATTCATCTTTCAGGTTGCGGCGGCCACACAAGCAGGGCCTTTGCCTCGCTTGGAAGTTTGCGGAGGTTTCAGGGGGAGCTTCAGGTGCTCTCACTGCTCTTTGCAATCTCCGGGGGCAATGGGCCCACGAATGATTTTCAGAATGCTGGTTGTGGTATTGACGGTATTGAAGCTAAGGAAGATGCCGCTTGTGAAGTTAAGGCACTTGCAGTTCAAACTGCACACCGCATGATCATGGGACAGGTCAAGAAGGTGTGAAGGTGATCTCGTACGAGAGGAAGCTTCTTCCCTTGTCCACAGCCGGCGTCCCTCATGAGTCAGTAAGGTCGAGGCCAGCAGCACGCCCGGTATCGGCGACCACTACAAAGGCAGGGTCCTTCTAGGGTATTCAGGTGTCCAGCTTCGGTTTCATGGTTCAGGCAGTTCAGGCGTGGGCGAAGGCTTCTGAGAGCTGCTACCCGAGAGCAACCCTGGACACCCTCAGGGAGTCCTCATTTTTGGTTTTGCAGGCGCCCTCAAGTGCGTCTGCTCGCACGGCCATGTTTGGACCTTAGCTTCGAGTTGCAGTTGCTTGAGTTGCTTGCCTCGAGACCAGAGCCACGAGGACGCGCCCGGGCACTCTTCTAGCCAAATCCAGCAACTCCGGCTCCCTGATGCACCGCGTCCTAGCCAAGGCGGTTTGGGATTTGAAAAATTTCGAGATATCCACGAAAGCTCCGTGGACAACGCAGCACTTGTCGCTTGCAAGTCTTCTTGATCGGTCAAACACGAGCACCGCCCCCCCCCCCCCCTTCCCCCCCCCTTCCCCACCTCTCCCCTCTCAACAAAAGCATGAACACACTTGTAACGCCGCAGGACCCTTCGCCACCAGTGCGCCGACCAGCACCGGCAACCGCGCCACAGATGTCGCCGGGACCTCTTGTATAGACGAAGTCTAGGAGCATCTTCGGAGAACCATTACCATGTGACTGAGAAGCTTTAGCGACGTGGCCTTCGCATCGGCTGGCTGAACTGCATTCGAAGGTCATAGCTGTCATCACTCAGAATTTTTAAGGCTGGGTGCATGTGGCTCAGCACAACATTTTGGGGCGACTGTGTCTCATCAAAAAACGAGTAGGCCTCAGGGTGAGGGTGTATATGCTGTGGCCATCGCTCTAGATATCACCTGCAATCGGCACGAGACAGCCAAAGTTACTTCAGCCCAGCAATTCTAGCACTTGCTGAATTGTGACACCCAGGATCCCTGAAAGTTTCCATGCTGATGCTAGGCTCTAAAGCCCTCAATGCCGAAGCTGATCCCCAATGACCTTGCCACATGATGGCAAGCCTGCGGGCAGCGCACTGGGAGGCCGGGGGTCCTTCAGTGACAGGGATCTTGGCATAGGGATGCAGGGGCTTCATGCGAGTGACGGGTTTGTAGTCGCCTTGAAAGCTCATACCTGACGGGCGTTGACAGACTCTCATCCCGAAGCTTCTCCCGTGAATCCCATAGCACCTTCAAAAGCAAGATGCCAAGGCTCTCATTCCCTGAGCCTGTACAGGTCAAGAGCCCCTGCAGACAGCTTCTTTAGCGCTTTGTGCGCGCGTGGACATGCCCTGCCTCTCTACTCTCTACACAGGGAGACTTGATGATGACGATGATGATGATGATGATGATGATCATGATAGCGGATGGAGTGAACGTGCACTGACGAGCATCATCGAACCAACCCTGAAGCCATTCAAGCGTCACCTCCTCCAGTTGTGAGATTCTGCTGGGCTTGACCGGGGTGCGACTTCTGATGCCGCTGCGAGGCCTTACGCTGCGCGATGGGGCGTTGCGTCCGCCCTTGGGCTCTCGCCTGGCTGCCCTGGGGGACGGGACTTGCATTGGCTACTGGAAGCTCCGTTCTTCTCAAGCTGTTAAGATAGTGGCCTTGACCTTTCATCTCAGTCCTAGTTGAGCCGGTGGAGTCACCTTGCAGGAGTGCGCGGACGTCCGCTGTGGAACCCACCGTCTCGCACATCCAGAGGCATTTTTGGTGGGGAGCGGAGTTGTTTCTCTTGATCTCCTTCATTCCCCACATCGCGCGGCCTGTACTCCTCCTGCTCCTCCTCCTCCTGGCTTCGTTCTCCTCCAGCTTCTCCCCCGTCCTCCCCTTACAGATGCATGCATGCACAAAGGCACACACCCATCCATACATTCGGGCAATCCTCCTCTCCTTTGCAAAGGTTAAGACATCAAGATTTCAAAGCAAGGAATGCACACCGACTAAAACGCATGTTTTCCCAGCCGTTGATGCCAACCTGCAGGCACACACAAGCTGATTTGGCTTTCCCTGGCTGCCCTCCGGACTTCATGCACCTGACTGGCAAGATGCAAGCTGCTTTGCTTCTGCAGCTGCTCCAATCACCAGGTCATAGGTGCCCTGACGCGTCAGCTACTCCCGGTTCGCATTTTGGCGCGCGCCTCTCAAGTGGGAGAGTCATCATTCCGACTCTCGACACGTCTACACGCGCCTGGCCGAATGTCGCCGCTCTGTCTCGGCCTCACTCCCAATGACTTGTCCGTAAGCGTGTCGCGCACGCAAGCACAACACTCGTGCACCCTCGCAATCGCCGGCGCACCCGCAATCGCACCCTCCCGCATTCGCACCCGCACGTGCTTGCACCTGTACACGCAATCACACGCACTGATGCGTGCACTCTCCTTGCTCTTTCTCGGTGTTCTTGCAAGTGCACATGTGGGGTCGCCATGGGTCCTCCTGTCATTTACGTTTTTTGTTTCTGCGGACTATGGCCTATCGGTGGGCTCCAACCTGCTCAGAATCCTTCGGAGGCCATAGGAGCTGACAAGCGTGACAAGCTTCAACTCAATTTTCCTAGAGTCTGTCAGAGCCCTGCAGCAGGTGCGGCCAGCCTTTCTCGCCTTCTCCTTGGCGCAGTGTGCCCTCCTTGGATCCCGCGAGGCTTGTCGATGGCAAGACGGGGAAGTTGAAGCTGAGTCTCGGTGTTGGACGCTTCATCCAATCAAAAGTGAGATGACTTTAAAGCACCACTTTACCTGTCCTCTTTCTGGTTCTGTGATCTACGTATGAACTGTTAATTGCCAAAAGCGAAAAGGAGTTGTGGGTGTCAACCGCAGCTGCTCTCAGTGCAGAAGGTGACTGTGTTGGCGCTGGGTTCTGGTGGACTTCTCTTCGAGTGGGAGATGCTGGAAGCATTGCGCACGAGCCGCTGGGGCAACAACGACATCTCATGTAGCATGATGTCCCCCCACTTCAGCCCAACCTGTCCCAACCTTCGAAAACACTCTACGATCCAAACTCTTCCACTCGACATCGCCCGTCTTGGAATCATGAATGCTTCAGGCCTACCAACGCACCGCCCCCCCCCCCCCCCCCCCCCCGGTGTAAGATGGACACTTAAAGGCTATGCTGCACGTGCGTGCCTTGTAAACTAATACTTTACAAAGGAAACACCCGCAGCATAGACGCAACGCACCCGCAGAATAGACGCAATGCACCCTTAGCATCAGCGCACTGTATCCTGGGCGGAGGGCGCGGAGGGCGCGGAGAGCGCAGAGGGCGCGGAGGGCTTGCAAACGCGGAGGGTGCGGCGGGGCATCGTGTCCCCACTCCCCTGCCCATCAACCGAATGTCACGCTCCACGCCACGCCCCTCTCCAGCAAAATGTTCCAAACCCCCTCCCTTGACCGTGTCGTCTCCGCGGCTTCCCGTCAAAGTTCATTCCGTCCGAACCTCCTCCAAGAAGCGATAAGATAGAACGCCTTCCGCATTGAAGCGCCAAACGAGAACCCAATTTCAGAATTGGTTTTCGGGAAGAATCCAAGAAAACAAAGAGCACGCGCAGAATAGACGCTAAGCGTCCAAGGCCCCCCCCCCCGCAACCCAATGCAAGGCTTTCAGTGTAGATGGCGTGATATTTTGCATTCCTCCCAACAACCACCTTCCTTCTCCTTGCCCTTATATGATATGCCTTCTGAAGTGTGCTTGCAAGTGCCGATTGAATTAGTCTGATTGGAACCCCCATGGCGGCCGCAAGGCGGCCGTAAGCTTAGGCTGAGGCCAGATTGTCGCTGCCTCCATCCACCTCGTCGATCCCCTCTACGGAAATCCAGCAACTCCAGGTGGGGGGGGGGGGGGGGGGGGGGGGGGGGGGGGGGGGGGCGTAAGGCCGATGGCCATTCGGCGGGATAAAGCTAGAGGGGACTTTGCCATGCTCACTCGTTTCCAACGTCTCACCTCCAAACTGCCGGCTTCAGAAAGACTTGGTATATGTTTTGAGGGTCTTGTTTGCTTTTCTATAAGCCGCAACCCTCAGCAACCTACAGAGCACACTGCAGAGTCTCCTACGTTCTGTCCAGGTCCAGCTTCCGATTTGCGGTGAAAGCTCTCCCATCGGTTGTTCAGCTAGCGTCAAAGCGCCAATGCGTGTGCCAATGCGCTTTGAATCTACTTCTCATCTGCATTCCTCCTGAAACTTTCACCCGCAACCCTTACCCGCTGGCTGTTAAGATGTGAAAGGCCTATGCCTTGAAACAGCACAATCTTCTAAGGCCCTTGCGTTGAATTCATTGAGTGGAGGTTGTGCTGCGCAGCTCGAGAAGCACCGGCTGGCTCGCGGCGCCCTCGAGGCAGGTCAGCATGACGCCACTCATATATGGGGGTTTCCGAAAACAGGGGTACCCTTTTTGGGGGTCCACTTTAAGGGGATTTCTTTTCTATTTGGGGTATATAACGGGTACCCCTAGTTTGGGAAGTGCCCATTTCCATTCCCCAAACAGCTTGTCAGCACCACAAAGTTCCAACGTGTAGGGTAAGAGTCGGTATAACAGGGGCAAGATCGGGTAGGGCGTGCGGCCCGCCTGGGTGGCTCGCGTGGGAGGATAGTTTGGAATGGGGGTGTGTTTTTTCGCGATTTCTGCTTGTAAGGGCTAGTCCTGCGCGTTTTGCAAGTTCATGTTTCTGTATTTCCTTCTTCTCTTTATTACATTCCTTCTTCCCTTTCACCCCCCCCCCCCACCCCGCTTTTTGTAAGCTTCATGCCCAGAAGGATCTTGCCTTAAATGAAAAGCATAGGAGTCCTTTCCAATCCAACCCTGTCCTGCGGGCACTGTGTTTGCAACCCACCCGTTTTCCTTTGTAATTAACTTCATGCCTAGAATCAGAAGAGAACTTTGCCTAAAAGCATCGCAATCCTTTCCAAACCCGTCCTGCGAACATTGTGTTTGCAACTGGGGAAGAGAACTTGCATGAGACTGCAAATGGGGGATTTGCTTGTTTATCCAGGACAGTCATATGAGCATGCCAACCCCCTGCCCTTTTTGATCCCAGGCGAGAATTGTGTTTGTACATGACTAGAAATACTTGGGTCTCATCAAAATTTCATGAGCATCCTATGAAATTCCTATCAAATCAAGAAGAACCAGACACAAAATTAGGACGAATCTCGATTAGAAGCAAGAGGATTCTAATTGAAATTATTAAGAAGCCCGTGAAAGCCAGTAGGAATCCTATTAAAATACAGAGGGAATAGATGTTTTCCTAGCGAAAACCCAAGGAACTTGACCAAAAAACCTCACAAAAAACCTCGGAAGAAGAGGCTCCGCCCATTTGGAATCGCAAAGCTGCAACGAGGACCCATCCAGCTCATAGTAAGGTGCTTCAAAATTCTCATAGGCCCCCATGAAGGGTACGCACGCGCGGAATGTGTCTGGGCAAGAGAGCCAATTCAAACCGCCCTGACCAGGCATTTCGAACATGGTTCTCCGAAGCCTCGGTTACTGCCTACACGAGCCTTGCAGACTTTGATTCAAAAGCAGCGGAGGATCCGACGTCAGGTAGCTGTGCCCGTTGTGAGTTTTCGGGGCTATCTCTGGGCGTGCGGGGGCGCGAACACGACTCCTAGAAAGATGCACTCTGAAGCCTGGGCCCTCAACACTCAAACCTGTTGCCTTTCCGTTGATGCTCCTGGGAAGCTGTGGCAGGACCTGCAGCTGGACTTGGTTTTGAAGCTGGATGCCGAGGACGTGGATCAGAAGGATTGGGTCGCGACACGACTCCTCAAGCCGTGGGGTGGAAGAAAAATCACGAGTCTTGTGCAGCCACAGCGCCTAAGCAAAGTTGCACTCACCGCCCTTCTTCGCTGGTGGTCGAGCAAGTGTAGAACGGATAGTGCTCGATTTGGCGTTTCCAGGAATGGCTATGCTGCGTTTGGCATGTTTTTCCCTCCCATGTGCAAAAGCCACGTACAATCCCCATCGCCTGCAGGGCCTGGAGCAGCTCCTGACTGGGCGCCTAAATCCTGCAGGCGCATGCTTTCGTGAGGCTCAGGGCTTACAGCCTCAATGCTAACAATGCCTAGCAAGATCAAATTAATTAACCCTCATTTGCTCTCTTTGGCTTTCTCTCTCTCTCTCTCTCCCTCTCTCTCTCTCTCGTTTTTCTTTTTTTTTTACACCTGCCCTCTCTTTCTGTTTCTACTTGTTGCTCTTTCTGACTCTTTACTGACTTTTTCTGACCCTTTCTTTGTTCTCTTTCTCTCCTTTTCTCTTGCTATTTCTCTCTCTTTCTCTCTTTTTCTATCTCTTTCTCTCTCTTTCTCTCTCTTTCTCTCTCTTGCTCTCTCTTTCTCTCTCTTTCTCTCTCTTCTCTCTCTTTCTCTCTCTTTCTCTCCCTTTCTCTCTGTCCTTCTTTTCTGTTCTGCTCGTTCTCTCTCTCTCTGCCCATCTTTCTCTGTCTATCTTTCTCTGTCCATCTTTCTCTGTCCTTCTCCCCGTCTCTCTTTATTTGTTTGTTTATTTATCTGTTTATTTATTTGGATGGTTGTTGATCCCTTTTGGGGTACCTTAAGTATTGGGAGCGTATGATAATGGGGATCCAAAAAGGGACCAGAATTTTGACAACCACCCATTTATTTATTTGTTTGTTCATTTTTGTATTTATTCGTTCTTTACTATATTTTTCTTGCTTCCGTCGCTCCTCCGCATTCATTCTTCGTCTTTTGCCTGTCGCTTTTCGCCTTTCGTTTTTGTCTTTCGTTTTCGTCTTTCATCTTCCTTGCGTCCTGGCGTCCTTGCTTCCTTGCTTCCTTGCTTCCTTGCTTCCTTGCTTCCTTGCTTCCTTGCTTCCTTGCTTCCTTGCTTCCTTGCTTCCTTGCTTCCTTGCTTCCTTGCTTCCTTGCTTCCTTGCTTCCTTGCTCCCTTGCTCCCTTGCTCCCTTGCTCCCTTGCTCCCTTGCTCCCTTGCTCCATTCTTCCTTGCTTCCATTCTTCCTTGCTTCCGTTCTTCCTGCCGTCCTTCGTTCCCTCGTCCTGCCTCTTTCTCTCCCTCTTTGTCTTCTTCCTGTCTTTGCGCATGGATGATAATTACGGGCTAGCAGTTTAGCCTCCTTGAACACCCCTTCAGCATGACAACTCAGAATGCTTAGAATTCATCCTGCACGGCAGGGCTGTTTCTTCGTTTGTCTGGCTGCGATGGGCATGATGCACGCGGCTGTGATGATGGTGGGAGAGACTCGACTGCCCAACAGAGTTCCAGCTGAAACGCGCTTGAAGCTCCGTTGAGCAAACTCCGCCACACAACTCCGGCCTTTGGGTTGCATGTTGCACGCTTGCAGTTGTGGATTCTAATGGGGGTTCGCATTGTGTCATGGAGTCAGTTTACGCAGGGCACTCCGTGGAAACTCATAAAGGGCCGAGAGTTTAAAACAATTAAGTCTGGAGTGAATATTCAGTACGTTAACTCGGTATTTCAGGGATTAGGAAGGAGACCAGAAAATTCTAGAGTTAATCTTGACCAGTCCTGCCGTTGCTTGGGTTTCTTTGAGGGAATTAACTCCGAATTTGCGTGTTGGCTTGTCTAAGAGGAATCAACTCTGGATTTCCTTGTTTGCTTTGAGGGGCACTAACTTCGGATTTCGTTGTTTACCCAGGGCTTCGGGAGGAAACAGTCAGCTCTGCTGCAAGTTCTTGGTTGACAATTCAATCTGTTCAGGGTTGATTCATTCCTTTTCGCTGGTGTTGATCTTCAGGTTCCCGGAGACAAACGTTTTGTAGAGCCCAAAACTTGCCAAATCCATGGTTCCAGACCTATACCAAAGACAAGACTTATATCTCTGGATTCAATTGTTTCCGGACAAAGACAGAAAGCTATTTCAGCATTCGGCTCATTCCTGAGGCGTACTGCAGTTTTGGAACCGAAGCGAAGTACCGATGACTTGCTCCTTTACGGAACGCTAAAAACCTTTAACTCTCGATTTGATTGTTTTTGAAGACCCGAGGCAAACACGGGGACGGCTTACCCATACCTCTCCCACCGACGATTCGAATCCGAAAGCCAAATACTCCCCCAAGATCCATGAGTTGCACTGGAGGGCATCTCCGAAGTAAGCCCGCCAAGCATGGGTTTACGAAAATAAGGGACCCTCAATATAGATGCCCAAATAGTAGGATTCCTTTATAATAAGGACCTCAGCAAGGTTCCCCAATTTCGGAAACCCCCACGTAGCCTTGAATCCTAGCTCCTAGAGATCCAGTGGATCTCTGAATCCCAGCGCTTTGCCCCGAGAGGTTGCCGCAGGCTCTTCGCCCGCCTCCTCTCTGCACGTTGCGAGGGCATGGCCTGGCACAGGGGTACCGAGGTGGGGCTAAGTCCAAGCAGCCAATCGAGCTTTATCATTGTGAGTGATGTTCTTTTTGGACGAGCATGCCAAGCGTGGCTCGCTGTGGCAGGTTTGCTTCGACCCTCCTCCGCCGGATGCTAGCAGGAGAAAACACCGAGAGAGGCCCGGAGTTGAGGAGGGAGGTCAGGGTCCAGCGGTCGGGGTTCTTGACATGTTTGAGGTGCTTTGTCTTGAGAGCTCTTCGATGTGCGGGTCTAGGGGATAGTTCGCCTCGCTCGTGCCAAGGACTACGGTGCCCCAACACATTTCCGTAAGCTTGAGAGAGCAACACCGCCTCGCTCCGCTCGCAATATGCCATCCCAAGAACCGCATGGCTTGTCAACTCCCCGGAGTCTCCGGCAGCGATCTGGAGTCTCCGGCAGCGATCTGCAGCGTGGCAGTAAAGCGCAAAAACGCACATCGAACCTATGGCCCAAAAGCATCTGATTGGGATTCCAACGCTTCTCCACTGTGCTCAGCCCTGAGGGCTCTCTGGTGCATTCAGCGACCTAGTGTTTGGAGCACAGGAGACCCAGGCGAGGAGAATAGCTGAGTTGATCCCACATCCCGGGAATGAACCCAAAAGTCTCTTGAACCGACTGGGGCCGTCAAGTTTCTCTCCCTGATTTTGCGATGATTCTGCAGTGATTCTGCAAAGAGAAACATCCATGCTTCTTTGTCCGGCCATGTCCAGTGGACCAGCCGCCCCTCGTACGTTCTTCCCAGAGCAATCCAAGGCGTTTCCGGCGTTTCCTCACTGACTCCCCACCTGCCCTTGCCAGGTTCGCTGCCTCTTCGCCGCGGGGCCGGGCCAGTGCTGCCGGGCTTCAACTGCTCCGCGTTGTGGCGGAGGGCGTGTGCCGAGGACGGTGATGGCTTAAGGGAAATAGGGTTCTCTTCTCGGATAGGAAAGATGGGGTGAGGAATGGTGAGGATTTTCATGAACTTTCAATAGTATCGGTTTCAGAGTCTTGAGGTTGCAGAGTTGGAGTTTCGGGCTTCGAGCTGGGGGATGAAGCAAGATCATCGCTTGCGCTAACCCAAAAGCAACATCAGTCGCGTCATGGTTGGCAATTGCTTCCATCACGTTCTCCGCTACCACTGCTTTGCTGTTCGGTGGTCTTCTCTGTAGATGTCAGAGGCGTGGTTGCGATTCGCGATGCGCCGGACGTCAGCGGGGCCCTCCTGGGCGTGAAGCACCGCGGTGACTACGCGGTCATCGAGCGGGAGGAGCACCGACATACTGACTCGAACGAGACTGTGAGAGTGAGGGTGTTTCAGCTGTTCTATGAGTTGTCGAAATTGGGCCCATGCGAGAAATGCTTTGTGGCATCACTGTGCTGCGTCAGGAACCACCATGGGTGCAACTGTCAGCAGAGGACGCAAACTTTCGAGTTGATACTAGCATCAGTAGCTTGAATACCAGACGGTGCCAGACGTTCTGGAACTAATGGCTAGAAGCTGAGCGAAAACCCTGGCGGAAGCCTGTAAGTCTTGCTGCGCACCCTTGTGCTTCATTATCAATCGGATCTCCCGTGAGCCCCTTGAGCGGTGCAGGATGAGTGGCTCGCCGAGTTCATTGAATTGCGGAGGCCTTTTGGAGTGGTGGGGGAGGGCCTCAAGGAGTTGAACTCGTTTAGGAGCAGTTGATCGTCGTAGCTGCTCGGTTGAGGAGGTTTTATTAGTGGTTGCGGGGTTCAGTTTTTGAAGGTTTTCCCGGTAACCTGAGCTGGATTGCACAGCGCCAAGCACGAACGCACAGAAAGCAGCCTTTTATTCCGCTCCTGGCGCGGCGCTTATGGCGGGGCTGACCATACTGAGTGTTAGTCAGAAAGTCAGAGAGGTACATTGCCCCAAGCTCTCGCTGGCCAGGTTGGAGGGTGTTGCAGAACCTCCTCAAGCGTGGCTGCTCAATTGCAGATCGCGACCAGTTGAAGCCCATGATTGCCATGCGAAGTTGAGAGACAAACTTGCGAAGCTGAACATTCACACCTGCCCAACCCAAGCTCCAACCCCAAAAGGGCTCTGCACAAGCCTCCCGAAGACCAAAAGGATGCTGCAAGATGGCACCGCGCTGGGCTTTGGCACCTTGCTCGCTCCCGATGACAGAAAAAGGCATGGCATCTACAGTATTCTCCAGTTCTCTTCTTGGTTCGGTGCGTTTCTGTGCGTTTCTGTGCGTTTCTGTGCTCTCTCAAGCTGTGCTTCTCCGCTGGTGACTCGTGAACCCTTGGGCTTCCTAGGCTTGCACAGTTCCACATGGATTGCAGCGTTTCTGGACGTCCTACCTACCTTAAATTTGTCGGAGTTGACCTGCATTGCATGGCCCTTTTCGCTGTGCGTCATGAAGCCGTACGCAGACTGACGTACTGGTGGGATCTCGAAGATATGATTTCTTGGTATTTCCTCGGTATGGTATGATTCACGTGGCCATCAAAGTGTCATCGGTGAAAGTGGAGCAACCCGTGCATGACGACAACGGAGAAAGCGACTTACTTTCCCCTTGCTGCTTATATAGGATCCTGATTTTTGGTAGCTGCGTACGGTTCGGACAATCCCCCGACAAAGCCCCGATCTAGATGGCAACAGTGGTGTCGCCACATGTCGCCACTTCAAGGTCCCCACCGGCAACAGTGCGGAGCTCGGGGCCTGGGACCTCCCCACGCGATCTGACCAGGCGCCTGGAGTGCAAAGTGTGACGAACCGGGCCTTCAGCTACCATTTGACGGTTTGGTGTCAGCGACGAAGTGCTATCTGTATTTGCTTTCTGCTAACGAAGCAGCAACTACGGAGCACCTGTACTGCAAGGACGTGCCTTGCCTTCTTCCACATGTGGGTGCAAGCTGCTGACTGTTCATGCTGCAATGGCCGAGATTAGCCATGCAGCGCATATATGGTTTATACGAGACCCTTAATGTGTTTTGTTCTAGGTCAGCCATGATCGATCAAATCCCAACCTGGAAATGCCAGATTCCCCCTGAAAAGCCATGGCAAGCCCCCCTTCTCTGGTCTTGAAACTGGGAGGTCCACAGAGAGTGCCCGCCGCAGGGCAGCCCCGGCCCTGGGAGTTCGGGATGCATCCTCGCCCCGGCTTAAACATCGCAACTTTGGGGCCTCTTATAGGGGCTCCCTTAGGGGTAACGTAGGAGTAGGAGGCCTTGCAGGGATTTTCCAAGGCTCCACCCCTATATCCCGTACTTAGCCAGAGCTCTGAGTTCCTGTGAAACCATTCAGAGCTGGCCTGAATCAAATATAGAACCACCAGAAGCCGTCCAAGGCTGCGACGACTGGCCCCTCGCACGCTGTCTCGCACTCTGTGCCGCACTCTGTCTCGCACCCGGCCCAACCGGTGGCTTGGCAAAAAACAGTGTTCTGAACAGTGTGATGGACCCAAGACAAGGTTTACCGGGTCATCGGCCATTCGGGCTTGGCCACACATTACGGTTCTGATGTATACATATATATGTATCTATTTGTATATTCGTATACATATATATATATAGATATACCTCCTTGTTTACGTAGACCCACGAACACAACTTTCCCAAGAGAGCTCCCCTGTGCCTGGCCTCTCTCATCCAAAGTTCGCAGGTGGCCCACGCAGCTGTGCACACAGCGCACCCCAACAGCGCCCGCACTCGTCTGGGAGTGAGACCGCCAGCCAGGGACTTGCGGCGTTTTGAGAGGTAGCGCGATGGGCAGATTGAGGATACTGAGCAGTTTAGGGTTCCACTTTGGGCACGCTATGGGACTCTTTGGATTCTTCCAGACTGTGCGCAGTGTCGGCATTGCTCAAGTCTTGGATTTTCAGTAATTTCCGTAAGGCTGACCTAGAGCGTGCGAAGAGGTGCCCAGAGATGCCCACAGCCCAAAGGCAACAGTTCCACTAGCAATGTTACAAAGAGCCTACAACAGCCACTACAACCTCCCACTCTCTCCCAAGCCGTCTTAAATCTGCAATGAGGTCCACTCTGCGGCCTGGGCCTGAGCCGTGTACGATTTATGTTACATTCTTCAGAAGCAGCAGTTTTTTTTTTTGACTCTTCACCCTGCCTCGGCACTTAAATCGAGCACAATTCGAAGACAGGAATCCCATCCCACTATGGAAATCTTGCGCATAGGCGTCGAAGAAGCGAACGGCAAAAATCTGTGCAAACAAGTGTAAAAGACGTGCTTAAAAGTAAACGCATGTTTGACGCTTGTGGGTCACGTACCAACGCACATGTGCGCAACAAATGGAACAATGCAGCAGTAAATCATGTTCTGTTGCCCAACGACATGAGCCAAAAGCAGGAGATCACTCGGTTCTGCGGCCGATGCCAGAAGCAGACTCTCTGAGTCCGGAACGCGAGTCAGGCAAAACACCCGCCGAGTCGAGTCCATTTGCAAACACAACTCTCGCATGATGGGTTCCAAAAAGAATCGTAGTGCTTTGACGCAAGCTTGCACGGTTAAAAAAGGGGGGGGGTTGGGGGGACCCCCCCGCTCCAATTTGAAAACGCAACGCTCCCATGATGGGTTTTCCAAAAGTTTCAGTTTGCTTTGACGTAAGCTTGCTCGGCTCAGAAAAAGCCGGGGGGGGGGGGGGTGAGTGGGGCGCACCCCCCCTTCCCCATTTGCGAACACAACGCTCGCATGATTTCAAAGGAGTCATATTCTTTGAAGTTGCACGGCTTAAACAAAGCGGGGGTTGGGGGGGTGTTTTGCAGGAAGCTTGCACGGCTTCAAAAAGCGCGGGGTCCCCATTTGCAAACACAAAGCTCGCATGCTGGGTTTCAAAAAGTTTCGTTTGTTTTGAAGCAAGCTTGCACGGTTAAAAAAGGGGGGGGTTGGGGGGGGGAGGCATTGCAACCACAACGCTCGCATGGTGGGTTTCAAAAAGATTCATATGCGTTGAAGCAAACTTGCGCGGCTTAAAATAGCGGGGGGGGCTTAGGGTTGGGGGGCCCCTGCCCCTCCCTCCCCTTCCCCCTTCCCCCTTCCCCCTTCCCCCTTCCCCCTTCCCCCTTCCCCCTTCCCCCTTTCCCCTTTTTCCCCTTTACCCTTTTTCCCTTTTTCACCTTTTTCCCCTTTTTCACATTTTTCACCTTTTTACTCTTTTTACCATTTTTCCCCTTTTTCCACTTTTTCCCCTTTTCCCCTTTTTCCACTTTTTCCCCTTTTTCCAATTTTTCACCTTTTTCCACTTTTTCCACTTTTTGCCCTTTTTCCCCTTTTTCCCCTTTTCCACTTTTTACTCTTTTTACACTTTTTCCCCTTTTTCCTCTTTTTCCCTTTTTCCCTTTTTCACCTTTTTCCCCTTTTTCACATTTTTCACCTTTTTCCCCGTTTTCACCTTTTTACATTTTTCCCCCTTTTACCCTTTTTCCCCTTTCCCCTTCCCCCTTCCCATAGGTAAATAGACCAATATAGGCGTGCACGGGTATATACACACATACATCCGTTTTGGAAGGCACAGTGTTCCACGAATGGCCGTGGAAGTACGAACAAAGCTGTCTGTGGAGAGTTCTTTTTCTGTTTGAGGGGCTGTCTTGCAGCACGCCTTAGCATCCATGTATGTGTAGCAAGAGTCTCTTAAGGTACCTGAAGCACCAGAAGCGAAAATCTATACAACAAGTAATAAGCAACGAGTTGGAAACCCTGCACAAGGCTACGCCCTAAACCCTGCAGTGGTGTTTGTCGAGGCTGCACGTCGGACGGTGCGTTGAGAGCTCCGTGGAGCCGAAGAGTCCTGATTTAGGTTTGTATCGGTACCTTCGAACCTTGGAGATCAAGTTCCGCCAACTGCTTGCCACTGTAGAAAGAGGAGTGGTTTCTGTGGGCTATTTAACTGCCAGTTCGGTTGTGCAAGCTTCTTCGGACAACCCGATGACAAAGTCGACAAGCTAGAATCCACGTTAAGCTTTCACAGTGGCCCGGTGACGCTTGCAGGGAGAGCCGGCTCCAGAACAGAGTTGTCGTGGTTATCGACCTTCTCCATGACTCTATGAGTCTTAGCCCAGGCAAACAGACTAGTAGGCTAGTCCGATGTTCTGGTGAGTCGATGCTCTTGATTTCGGAGCGCCTTGGCGCGGCACCGCATCTGCAATGCCTGCAAAGGCAAGGGTTTCACCCACTTGTGGCCCAGCTCTAGCTGCTCTGGCTGCCAAATCCTCACCAGGCCAGGGTGTTGGCTTGATTCAGAAGCCCCTAAGAAGATTAAGAGAAGGATCTGAATATCGGAAGCTCAAGGCAGAGAGCATAAGACATTTGGGAGCCGTGTGAAGCGGGGGAGCCCCCATCCAAGGTGCGCTCAACAAACCCACAAAGCTTCGGAAGGCCGAAGATGGCTGAAGATGGCTGCACACCCACAAAAACCAAATAAAAGGACAACCAGAACCGTTCTTTCTACCTCGGCGAAGGTTCCTAAGGCCCCCACTCCAAAGAACCCCAAATGCCAAGCCTTGATCCCAGGTAAATGGAAAGTAAGTTAGTGTACGGAAGTCACGGCATCGGCGGTCCGAGTGACCGAGTGCTGCAGCGGCGCAAGAGTGACCTCTAGCACTGAGTGTACTCCCATGCATTAACTTAGGGTTTCGTGGAAGCATGTTGTCAAATCTGTATAAAGGGCTTCAATGGAAGAAGGGATTTCTAATGCTCAAAATGGTGTACCACCGAGATTAAGCACTCTCGATACCTTCGATAACAGCAGCTGCAACAACCTCTGTTGAGGGTTGTGTGTGTTTCAGTACATGGAGGCTTGTGTCTTAAAATGTATCCGTACTCGGGGATGCCTGTGTGGCTCTGGCCTTGGGTGTAGGTTTGTAGTTTGGGGTATCACGATCTGTGTAGGGGTCTGCAACTTCCCGCAACTGATCAAAAGTTGCAGATGGGAACTCGCAAGCATTTGGATGAAGGCTCCCCGCCATGAAGGATGACTTTCGGAGGCCGCGACCTCTTGTGAGCGGTAGAGACCCCTCAGCTGCCGGCCTAAGCAGTAGGGCCCAAACTTAAAGCCAAGAAGTGGCGGCAGCCGCACTACTGTTCTTGGACGCTGCCTCAATGCCTCAAGACTAGCAAAAAAAGGCACCTGCCCTCATTGTGAACGGTCGCGGCTTGGCCAATGCGGTCTTTCCGAATTCGCCGTCTCACGGCACGAAAATGTGCAGGGAGATGTGGCATGCCCTTTAGATGAGCTCGGCTTCGTCCAAGTCTGTCGTCGCCCGGCTGTGATCTGCAGCAGCGACCGGCGACCCATTACCTTTAAGCCAAGAAGGCCTGTTGTTGTTTTTTTGTTTTGTTTCATTTGTTTCTGGAGTTGGGGACAGGGGACATACATATCAAATAGCAGCCAACGTCGGGCAAGGGGAGAGGAAGGCAAGCGTGACCCAAAGCCCTGCTACACCAAGAGCCCGGTACCCTCAGGGCCTGAGGTGCCCCGCGCACCTTTAAAAACACCACACAAAGCTGCGCTCCTTTGTAGGGAGTGGAAGCTAAGGAAGCGCCTAGAACCCATGCAAGAGTTGAGTCGGGATTTCCTGTATAGTGCTATAGTAATGTTCGTATGAAAGTGTGCAGGGCATTTAAACAGAAAGGCCTAGTTGACAAGTCTCAGCAGAGTTCCCGAGAAGGTACGCTAAATCATCCTGGCGCGATGGATTTGGACCATAGAGTGGTGAAGGAAGTGCCAGTCCTAGAAGGTCCGTCGCAGAACGCATTTGAAAAGAGTCGGCAGAGTCGGCAGAGTCGGCAGAGTCGGCATCGCTGCGGAGGCGGTTGAGCACGGCCCTGTCTGCCATGCATGATGACCTTCAGGTTTATCAACGCTAGCTAACGCGCCTCAGCTCTGCAGGGCATGTTCAGACTGGACGCCAGCTGGAAGCCCTTCTATCAAACCTTAAACCCCGGAAGACTTCGATTGCACGGCAGCGCAAGCCCACTCTAACTTACCGGCCTTCAGGCTCGAAGCCGCTTAAAGCAACCCTCAGGTATGGAAACTGAGGGAGTCCACAGAGCTACAGAATCCCTAGCCTGGAGCGCCCGGCTGTAGCATCATGAGCATTCCTTGAGTCGGGTTGGGGGTATGCAGGCACTCTGGAGCATGAGCACAGCTGGAAGGGCCTTGAGTCGGGTTGGGAAGTGAGCATCATGAGCATCAGCTGGAAAGGCTTTGAGTTAGTCGGGTTGGGGGGTGGAGCATCATCAGCATTATTAGCTGGAAAGGCCTTGAATCGTGCTGGAGCATCTTGAGCATGAGCTGGGGCCTTGAGCTTGGGTTGATTGTGGCTTCACGTATGTTCTGGCTGCTTTCACGGGACGGCCAACACACAAACAAACCGAGAACGAAGGACAACCGAGCCAACCAGCAACAAACGAGCAACAAACAAACAACGTTTGAGATGAGTGGTAGGCATGCGAAGTGCGGCTGCACGAAGAAACTAGGCAAGTTCAAGAACTGTTTGGGAAAGAATGTTTGCAAGATTGCCTCTTAACCCAACTTGATCATCGAGCCTTGCCGCACTATTTTTGCTCGACAGCGGGCTCCTGCGGAACGCATTGGCCGCCGTCTCTGTATCAAAGAGGCCGGCGCACTGGTTCGAAGGATCTTGTGGCAGGAAAGTGGCAGTCAAAGATTGCCCCGGAAACATTTCGGGTGCGGATGGGCGAGCGGTTCTGGAGCCAAAGTTCCGGACTCCAGCTGGTGACCCACCCCATGGGCGGGATGACCGGAGGGATGGGGGGGGGGGGGGAGGATACCCTCTGCTTATTCAAGGGTTATGCAGTAGTTGCGTTTCGAGATCCAATTGTTTGTTGGTTCGGGATGAATATGGCTGCATTCTAGAAGCAGGTTCAGATTTTGGAGGGTCCATGGTTTGAGACATTGGGCCAGTGGGAATAACCTTCAAAATCATCATCGCTTTCTTCGCTTGCATTCTCATGATACAAAGCCTCCTGTAAAGGCAGCATATAACTGTTTTCGGCGGCGACAGCAAGAAAGCCAATTGCCACCCCTCCCAACTTCAATGACGTAGTGTTGTTGCATATTCGGGCTGCAGCTAGCAGATGTTGCCAGATGTTACACCTGTCCGGGACGTGCAGGAACCTCGACGCCATGTCTGACAACGAATCCGAGCCAGAGACCTCAGAGACCTCACAGAGACCTCAGCTTCGCTGCCCCCCCCCCCCCCCCAAAAGTGTCAGTTGCGAGGAGTAGCGCCCAGGCTTGCTGTGCTCCAGCCACAGCTTTTGAGTCACATTGCCTAGAACCTTTGCCGAGGACAGAGGAAATCAGCGACCTTTCGAACCCTGATGTGGGGCACCGAGTGTGTGCTCTGAGGACTTCACAATTCAATCAGTCCAATCAGTTCAACTCGGGGCAAGGGGGTTTTGCAAGGCTTTTGTTCTTGCATCGAGGGCTGATTGCGCGTAAGCTGGTTGTCGCGTTGATTCCCGCCACTGCAGGTTACCACAAAATATCGAGCGGCTGCAGACATCGTGAACAAGGACAACGTTGCCCCTGAAAAATCAACGACGCTCCAATCCCTCTTGATCCGTCTTCACTTGGTCGTCAAAGCGCCCAAGACTCTGCGGAAATCCTAAGCCCGCACCATCCGGCACCTAACCCAGCTCCTAACGCCTAACGCAGCACCGCCTACGAGGTTCCTTGAACCCAAAGCTTTCTCCTGAACCCAAAGCAGGATCTGTACAAACATGCACGCGAAACCAAGTGAGGGCGCATTTCGAGGAATTCACAGACAGGGCAGGGTGCGCCTTAACCAGAGGCTGAAGTAAACTCGGGGACTGACTGCATTTTTGCCTAGGTTTTAGGCCCTTTTTAAAGCAGGCCCGGAGCAAACATATTGAAAGTCCAAGGAACGCTGTGTGACGGCGTGTCTTGTTCCACATTCTTGTGCAGTATGTTGTTCGGAGAGGCAATGAGTGCTGCAACTACGAGTGTTTTCGGCATGGTCGGCATATGAAAGACATGATTATCCCCTCCAAAACAACACAAAGCCGGCAGAAGCCCAGCAATCGGCCGAATCGCACAGGCGAGTACGGGTGCCGTCACCTAGAGCATGAACCCTATAGGGCCACGCGGAACCCAACATGTATGAATAAGCATGCAGAATGGCTCAACTGAATGGGGGTAAAGCCTTCCCTGCCAGGCACTGCAGAAAGTTGTAGACGCTTGTGTGCCCGATGCGGATATTGTGTGCCCGTCACAGTTGATGAGTGCAAGCCGTCTCATGCTGCTGCATGTGGGCAGAGTAAGCATCTACCCTCGAAGCCAGGTCATGCTGTGCGACATGGGTGACAAAATTATGGAGGAGGAGTCGCAGACTTGGCGCAGAGAGCTATGAGCAGCTCTGCAATGGGGGTAGATGGTCTGAATCAGGGTCTGAAGCATCAGTCGCAGGGGCCACATTAAGGACTGGCAAATTGTACAACAAGAAGGACAAGGAAGGCAAAAAGATGGAGAAGGCCGACGCCAAACGCAGAAGGTAAATATTCCCAGCAGAAGCCTGCAGCTGTTGGTGTTGTTTACTTGTTGGCCTTGGTGTGCGCTTGTGGGTTGTTTGGCTCTTGCCTGCAATCATTGTTTAAGTTGTACAGTGCCCGCAAATCAGGTTCAAAAAGCTGCACATGTCTGCACTGTTTGGCCAAGTTCCAGGTGTCCAGCAGTGCCCAGAAAGTGAGAGAGCGCTTGACACCGGTGCACAAATATGCACAGAGACCTTACGCCTCGGAAAGACCTTCACCACCACACTTCGCACCACAAGTGCCCCTCTCAACCCGCAAAGCTTTTTGAATGCCCCGCCCCTAAATTCTGAGGGTGTGGCCTTCCCTACTTGCATCTCCGTCAACGAGATTGTGGGGCACTTCTCCCCACTCCGGGCGCGGAACCAAGTGGGCTCGGGAGCACGGCCTTTACAGATCTTTACAGCATTTGCTTGAAGTTGCGAGGAGTTGCTTTTTGCACTCAGCTATTCTCTGCGGCTGAATCAAAGAAGCAATGGGCGCATTTAAGGCATTGTCAAACATTCTCCCTCACTTTGTGTACATAACGAGCGGGATGTCTGGCATTTGACAAGACATCTGCAGCAGCCGCGCACTTCTATCAGAACCCCCACTTCAGAACCTCCAGACTCGACGTAGACCAAGCCACGTGTCTGTACAGGGCGAGTCCAGGCGCGCCGGACCCTTGATTTCTGGGGTTGAAAGTGCTTCTTAAGGCATGTTTCAGGCCTTGCGTTGCGGGGTTGTTTGGAGACTGGAATTGTTGCTCGTCCACAAAGCAGGGTTTGTGCAATTTGCATGATTCTGCATATCTGGCTGGTATAGAGGCGCGTTGAAATCTGACTTGCTTTCTTTTCATTGCGACCCAGACAGGAATCAGAGGTCCAGTCAGGCAGGCAAAAGTTTGCTCCAAGCAGGCAATTGAAGGCGGGTGACGTCGCCAAGATCGACCTGGCTTGCCACATTGATGGTGTTCCGGGCGCTGCTTTTGCCCCCTCCGGCACCATACTGCGGTAAGTAGATAGTGGCCGGCTACGAACGCTCGGTCATCTCTCCAGAGCGCAATTCTTGACATGATGGCAGGTTTCATCGCCTCTGCTGCGCACACCATCATCGTGGGAGGGGACAAGGCCGAGACGTGGTCAGCGTGTTTGGGCTTGCTAAGCATTCATATTCAGCAAGCCATGCTCCCCACATGCTCCCCTTGCTCTTGCAGTTGGAGTATATTGAGGGCCGACATGCCCAGGTTTCTGGGAAACAGGCCGACGTCGTCATGGCTGCTTGGAACGCTGCAGAGGCCGATGTCGGTGGTGCTCGCAAGAAGGTTTTCTTTTCGCCTGAGACTTAAGTTATCTGAAGCATGGTTGAGGGTGTGCTTCTCCAGGTTTTGGGGCCTTTGGCTGATTTGCATTCGATCGCTAGCCCTTCTCCAACTTGTGGTTGTCCCTGCCAACACCGAGAGTCTCGGTTCCATCCACGTGAGACAACCAGGTCCAACGAGGTCGAGCAAGCAGCAGTGCACATCATTCAGTACGATATTTAAATATATATATGTATGTATATAACGACATAATTGATGCAGCAAAACTACCTGGCTAAGGCTTAGCAACTTACAATACTTCAAGGCTAAAGCTGCGATGGTACAGCGGGCGTTCTGTCATGTCATGTCATGTCGCAGCCTAGCGAAGCAGCAAAGCAGCACACTGCAGTTGAGCAGGGGTGCCTGCGGTCGGCCCATTCAGTGGGTGTGGGCCACTGAAGGGGATTGATGACGACCCGCGAGGCTGCATTGCGGCTGGTCCAGGTCGGCAACAGGAACACACAGGCACGTGAGTCGGAATTGGAGTTCGAGAGTTTATGCTGGCAAGGCTTAGGGTACGTAGGTGAAGGCCGACCCAAGCTCTGCTGGTAACATGAGATGTCTCAGCTGTCACTGGAATTGCCACCACTGGAGAGCCTGAGAATCTCAGAGCTGCCACAACCTCGGAGCATTTGCGATGCTCTGCGACAGAACCCTTTCCATTAAAGAGGAACCACGGGCCGGCCAGCTACGTCCCATTCCCAAAGTTTTTGCTGTCCCAGCGGTACGATCTCTACTACTCACCAACAACATTTGTACTAGAAAAGGGCATTGACGAGCAAGTATCTGTGGAACCCATTTACGCCAGTAGCACAGTCGTCCCGGAATGGGCAAGAGGCCATGAGCCTTCGCATCCAGCGCGGTTCTGTAAGGGCAAGTACTCAAGAACCCGTTCTGAGGGTGATGTCTGAATTCCAAGGCGTGGTGGCACTGATCTTGATTAAACTTGACAAATCTCAAAAAAACAGTGCAGGAGGCATTCCTGTAATGCCATCAAAACAAAGACACGTGTGCGTGAGCCTTGGGTGCGATGTTCTTCTGCACTGGTCGAAGTCAGGCATTTAGTAGTACATGGGCCACTGACAGTTCTACACAGTGCATGACTCCTGCGTGACGACGCGACACATCCGAGTTTGGCATTTAGGGTTGGGTCCTGTCCAGGTGACTGAGGCGTTCGCAAAGATCGCCGAGGATTTCAAGGTCAAACCCATGCAAGGCCCATCTCGGTCGATTTGAAGGGCCTTTCTGAAGACAATCCCTTCATGCTGTATGATCTTGGCATGCGGCTGGCTTTCGCAATGGTCGGCCCCCAACAGAGGTAGGTTAATTTTCGGCCAACGTGGTTTGATGAGCAGGCTGCTGATGTACGGTGATGTGTTGGAGTCTCCTCGTTCCACAAGTCTGGTGGATGCTTTAACGGATCCTTAACGGTCCCTGCCTTTTCGTAGCACTTTTACCTCGAAATCTCTTGAAAATAGACATATTTATGGCTTTCCCTTACCCCTGGGGCTTTCAGGAGTGCTCTCGCACCAGCTGAAGAAGCACGTCATCGATGGCAACCGAACCATCATTTGCGCAGAGACTCCCGAGGAGAAGGTGTCACAAGTTTCCTCAAGTGACATGCGCCCGACATTTTGGTCACGTGCTGCTGCTACGTTGATGTCCAACGGGATTAGGATTGAAGCAGCTGATGACAATGAAACGGGGCTGTCGCCCACTGCCGGCTACGGCCCAAAGCAGACAAGGGCTTACATTAGATAATGGGTGCAGGGTGGCGGGTTCGTTTTTGTTTTTTCCCCACCCTCGGTCTGGGGTTGTTCGAGTTTGAACTAAACTCTTCTCGCCTGATGGCGCGAGCGCTCGGCGACCCGGGTTCGTGACCTCTTTGCCTCGTTTTTGACACCATGTGTTGGCACAATTTTGCGGTTTCTACGCCGCAACAGCCTCGACAAGAAAGCATCAGCATTGCGCCTGAGCGTCGCGCGGCGCGCGAGCAGATGCGCTGTTGCCGCCCCGGGCCTCCATACTGTTGATTTTTACGTGGCTCGAGGCCCAACCCGAAGATCACACGAGTTACCGGAGCGCACGCATGCTTGGAGGCCTCCCCATGGCTCTTGCCAATCCTGGCATGGGACGGCCCCCGTCCCTGATATCGGGAAGGGGGGGCCAACCGGTGGCCGAGAAATGGGGCGGGGCGGAGGGGGGGCCCTTGGGGCCTTCGGGGTTCTCAGAGGGGCCGCAGAAAGAAGGTGCCCAGAGAGTCTGGGTCCAGGTTTTCAAGCGCACCCAGCAGGGTGCACAGAAAAATCCAAACCGAACCCAAAACATCGAGGCGAAAGATGGCCCTTCTGAACTCAACACCTCAGATGTCTGGGACCCTCGCCCTGAAGAGACCGAACAGTCTCGACAGTGACCCAACTGGCTTGAAAGTTTTTGTGCAGGTTGAGGAGTTCGAGTTCGAGCTGAACGAAGTTTACAGCATCGATGTTGTCATGTCTACCGGCGAAGGCTTGGTCAAAGTATCCTAATTACGGAGATGCCATGTCAACTCAGGCCCACGGTACTTGATCCAGCATGGTGTAGATGCCATCCGTGCTGTGACCTTTTGAGAAGTCCGGGTCCTGCAACTCATCATCCCATTGAAGCCCCTGTGAGCATGAAACCAATGTCAAGGAATCAGTGAGTGCAAGGGCAACACTCTACTCGACAACAGCTCTATGGATCCAGGCCGCGGGAAGGAGACAGAGCTAAGAAATACCGTCTACAAGCGAGCAGTCGGCGGCCAAGACCACAAGCCTTGACTTTACTGAGGGCTCTCAGAGCTCGGCTTGCTGCTAGCAAGCACGAGCCTCGCTGAGCCTTTGAGCATGTGGTCTGGGTAAGACCGTGGGTTGTTAAAGCAGTGTTTCTGCATTCTGCTGCTGCAAAAAAGGGCATGAGCTCATGCCTCGGAATCTGCCCTAAGCACATCACATGAGACTGAGGTGGAGAACATGTACAGCCTGAAGACGCAGAAGGCTAGGCAGTTCATCTCAGAGGCGGAGCTGCCTGCAGTGTATCTGAGTACCAGTACTGGAGCCTTCGAGTAACCAAAGTGGGGGCAGATGTGCATCCCTCCCCTCATCCCTCTGCCCTCGCCCCCCTCACCATCCCTCACCTCCGCTCCTTTCTACATGCACGAAACCGCGTAACCGCAGCCGTAAGCCCTAAACCCTAAACCCTAAACTAAGGAAGCACGAGTCAGAAGAGGCACAAGTCAGTTAGATGAGTCATCAGCTACCTGAGGCGCGCGTCAGGAAAAACTGAGGCCGGATCAGGAAGCATTCGGCTGTGAGCCAAGGAGAAACGAGGCATGAACCAGCAAAAGCAAGAAGCGTTTTGAAAGTCAAGAATGGGCTAAGCACGATTTCACCCCAACCCTGAGCCAAAGCCGGAGTGGCAGCAAACCCTTTCCATAAATCCTAACCTACACACTCACCATAGACCCTGAACCTAAACCAAAACGGGGAGGGGGGGGGTATTGTCGGGCTCCCCCGCAGTGCGAAGCTTTGGCAGGTGAATCGGCGATTCCCGGCTTTGCCGTTCACTTTGCGGGCCATTGAAGACGAACAGGTGCCAGCATGGCAGTAGGCGAGCCTTAGGCGAGCCATCATCACTTGCACTTACGTCAACCATCCACGCAAAAGCTCGCCACCTTGCATCCGAAACCCGGAAGCTTCTCGCAGACGATGGCTACTGTAAGCTACATGCTACATGTGACACCGCAGCTCCCAAAAAAGCACCCAAAGCATGGCACAGCCTCGAAACCTTGAGAGCCAGTTTTCAGGTGGCCCGGGTGGGCGTGTCCGAGGCAAAGCGGCACGAGCTCCTCGACGAGTCACGACCTCGGGCTGCCCGGGCCAAGCTGCAGCAGAGGACTCTGCAAATTTCAAAGCCATCAAAGCCGCAGGAGGGTCTGGGCAGTTCCTGGGTTAAGGGACAAAACGCAGATGAAAGGCACAGGAAAATTCAAGGGGTTCCCTATTTCGTGTTGAACACGGGGTCTGTTGGGAGACAGTAGCCGTTGCCAGCCTTGGCCTTGACTTCTACAGCTGCCTCACTGCTGTCACCCGTGGTGGCACGTTAGGAACATCAACCGCGCTTCTGTTAACCAGAGTGGAACCCAGAGTTGAGCCTGCATTCTTTTTCAAGCACTAAAACACAGCAATTGTTGCGCCTCACGATCCTTAGCTTCAGCCCGTGGCTGAGGTATCCTGTGCTCAAGGAAGCGCACAGCGACGCTCACCTGCAACTCAGAGTCTCAGAGCGCGACCTTCGAACCTGAGCGGTCTGGTAGAACCTTTTGCCCACTTTTGTTCTCAGCAGCAAACTTCCTGTTCCTCTCCTGGCCTAGTGCGCAGTAGACCTGAGCATGTGCTGTCTTGCGGCAACAAATCAAGCTTGCTAACGCAGGAACCCAATTGAATGGATGACCCTCAGCCCAAACACTCGCCGAATCCAAGACGGCCCCTGTACCTTCCTGGTTCTCAGGAGTTTGTGGCGCAGTTCAAGTTCACTTTGTCGCGGGCTTATCCACTCAGAGCTGCCTCGGGCCTGCGGGGCCTGTGGATGTCGGGGCTTTTTAGGGCAAAAAGACACCCTGAGGCTCATTCACGATTGCCTACTTTGAAGCGCTCGCTCTGGGGCTTCGGCTTCGGGGGACATGAGTTGACTGTACAACTTCTTTGAGCACAGAAGACGAACCATGCTCCCAAGGCCCTGACACTTTGCAAACACCTGACATGCCTTGGCAATCCGTCAACTCTTATGTATGGCTTGAATATATATATATATATATATACATACATACATATATGTGATTCTTTTGTGGAGTTTTTGATCTCTGGAAACACAATCCCAGCGAAGACGAGACAACTTCTTGATTTCCGGCAAAAAAACAGCGCCGGAGTTTTCAAAGCTGCTGCAGTCGCTGCGAATGCCGGATATGGTGCCTCAGGATCCGGAGGCATTAGGCTTACATCGTCTCCTGCCTTTCAACGAATCGTTAAGTGAATGGTATCCACTAGAATTTCGCACCGTGAATGCCAGAAGTGCAGAGGCTTTTGCTGCCTGGTGGCACGAAGAAGATCACGGGCCTGGCCCTGGGAAAACTTCAGGAGCAGGTCCGCCCACTTCCCGCGGCCTCAAGTCGGCCTAAGTAGCCTTTAAGTATCTTTAAGAGCAATCCACCAAGTGCTCTGAACACGACAGCGGAACCCTAATCTGCGCATATCTCTTTTGGAAATGGAGAGGTTGGGGTCGGATTAGTTGGACATTCCTCTTGGAGGCGGAGCGAGTTGGGTATCTATCATGATGTTCCAAGGAATGACACGTTGCACTTGCTCCATGTTTGAGCATTTGCCTGTGGGCCAAACACGTGGTCGGGCGAGCTCTCAATCATGTGATCTTCGGAATATGACGAGGGGAAATGCTGGTATCCTTTTTGCTGATTGGTGTATGATGCGAAGTGCCTTCCTGCCAGTTTCTTGCAGGCGGCATCTGAGCTTTCTGTCGTGGATGAGGACAGTTTTGGGCAATCGTGCAATCAAGTGCCATGACTGACAGCGGGCACAGAACCATTCATGACTGAGCAGACTGGCTACCGCGCTATGTTTGTCTGACATACTTGCGCATGACATGCAGGACATGAAAAAACTGCTGGCGACGTCTGTCCACCGCCCAGTTGTTTGAGTTGCGGCATCTTTCGCTGGTTGTCACAGGGCTGAGGCACTACACTACTTCGCTTCGTATTCCGCAACGAGGGCATGCCAAGATGTGCCAAGTATCTTACTTGCGCCATGACAGGAAAACCCGTGGAAAACCAGAGAAAATAGCACATGGCCACATCGATTGAGGGCTTATAAGGGGGGGGGGCCCCTTTTGGGCGTGCCTCCACCCCTTAAGGCCCGGCCCTGGCAGCCCTTTGACAGCCCCCTGCCGCCTTGACGCCCAGGCGAACCCCAAGAAGGCCAAGAAGAAGAAGGCCGACAAAGGCGACGCCAAAGACGGTGAGGAGGCCTAAGATCGGAGAGAGCGGGATGTGGGGTTCAGTCGAAGCTCTGAATGAAGTTGAAAAAATTTTGTTATGGCCGGGTCCCCACTCTTTTCTTTCTCTTGAAGCCTTCCGAAGGCAGAGTACGGGGCCCATCTCTTGGAAAGTAGCCATCTGGGTCCCAAGATCTGAACCCGAAGCCCAGTCAAGGCCGTGACCTACACGTTCCCCTCAAGTAACCACAAAAAGCACTCACCAACCATCAGCAAGCCTGAGTTCTTAAGTTCCCCCTGGGCTTCGGAAAAAGATTTCTTCCCCGTGGCCCATGGCCTCGTGGAGAAGACCCATCCTTGTGGTTCCCCGTGGTGCCCAATTGGGCTGCACGTCAGACACAGCGGGTCATCGCCCTGTTCAGACTGGGGAGGTCGCTATCGACTTTTTTGAGCCTGCTTTGCTGCTTTGGGCGATTTCTTCCGTGCCGTGCAACCACACCAGAGCGCCTCAGAGCCTTGCCGTTGGGCGGCCAAAAGTGCAGCCTCCGAGTCCCCTGCGGCTCGGTGCGAAGGAGAGAGGTCCTGCAGACCACAAGAGATCGTTTCTAAAGCTTTCCATGTCGCAGAATTGTGCGTCAGAATAGCCACCTGGAAAGACGGCAACCGGAGAGCAGTGAGGTCGACAAGTGTCGACAAGATCTTTCCAGACTGGCTATAGCCCCAAATGCTTTTACGCATCCAATCCAGAACTTATCCGCGGGTGTTGAGAGAGCTTCGCCTTTGGAATCCAAACGGGGGGGGGGGGTTAGCTTTATCGCCTTGTGTCACCCGTGAGGGGTTCTGGATCTGCGCGGATGTTAGGATGGCCTCCTAAACCGGGGCAAGACCCATGCTTATTTTGAAGGGTTTGAAGTATGGGCGCCGCTGTGTTACTTGGAGCCTGGAGCCAACCCGGATAGAAACGTAGAAAACGCGGGCCGTCTGTCAGGACGTTGGCATTGTTGGCATGCGCGGGCGCAGGAGGGTCGTGGTAGCTTCCCTTGTGAAAGGCATGGCCGTCCCCAAGAGCATGGTCTCTGCAGTCGATCTCCTCACACGCCGCGTGCTTCATGTTGAACCATACTCAAAGCTTGTTCCGAGCTTGAATGCAGCAATGCAGCGCAATGCAGCATGCACAGAATAGAAACTCAACTTCAATGCAACCGTTGGCTGGGCACAACGCACCCGACCCTCACCTGACTCACCAACAAGTTCACCAGAGTCCATGGTAACACATGGTAAACTAGTACAGGGCCGGGAAGTGCGGCAACATGCTTCTTGTCCGACGGCACTAAGCTTCCAAGATCGAGATGGACAACAATGAGAAGCTCTTGCCTTAAACCAGGCAAGCACAAGCAGCCATATCCTGCAGCGTCACGAGAGTGAACTCCGGCAGCTGACCTTCTTGAGTGCCCTCATGGGGAAGTGAACGCTCCTAGCGTAAAGTATCGAGGCAAAGCTAGCGGTTCTTTTTTCAGATTTCGGACCTGAATCCCTACATCCCTCCGCAAATAGAGCTTACCCCGCAAACAGAGCTTACTCTCCTTTCAAGGACGAGATGAAGAGGCCTAAAGTGACTAGACCCTAAACATCTCACAACATGATTTTCAGTGTTTCACACACTTTTCATGTGAATCGTCCTGAATTCCAACCTCAGAACCTCGGGCAATGTTCGAAGTGGGCAGATGTAGAGTCGTTCCCAAACCCCGGTACCCAGGCTTACGCGCCTGCTGGAGGCCCTTGGGCCAGGCGCTGACCCCGCACTTGCGCGGGAGGTGGGGGACAAGAGTTGGGGCCCAGGGCTCCAGGGCGAGTTTTTTGGGTTTTCCGGCGTTTGCGTGGAGGCTTTTGACTCGGGTATTTCGCATCGGTGTGCGAACGGCTTCGAAGTCGAGGAACGGTGTATTCAACGGACCTACATTGCCAGTTGGTGTCGGCGTTCTGCTGTTCGATGCTGAGCGCCTGACACGGACTTCAACCAGAGATCCAGGGGCTTCTGGAAGCTGTGCTTAGCTTTCCTCTGTAGAGATTGCACAATAGGGGGGCTCTAGGACCTGGTGAGAATCGCAGGCTTATTGTCTTAAATTCACATTTGCCTGCGCGAGTTTCTGTGATCACTGTCTTGCCTTTCAAGGGCCTGGGCTGGGAAGTTGGCCTGCCCAAATTAATTCCGGACCCGTGTTTAGGGGGAATGAGTTCGCATTCTGTGCTTGGGATGTGTTTGATTTCGTGATCTGTGCACGTCTGCTCAGGTCCTCCGTTTGAATGCCCCAGGCCTACAGGATGGTCAATCGAACCAACCCCGATGCCCATGCATGTGCCGGAGATTTATGGGTCAGCGAGGGACTTTGTCTGTTCATGGCAGCATCTGGGATGACATCGGTGGAGAGCCTGGAGATATTGGGTGATTCGATCCCGTCGGGCGCGCCGACAAGTTCGGGGAGACTGCGGCAAATACCAGGGGCGGACTGGATCGGGCTGAGGGGCGTGCTAAGATGCTTGGGTTGCTTGTGATTTTGGGAGGGCCTCCCTTGTGACGAAGAGTAGCTAGCCTACGTTCTCGCGCCAGATTTTAAGTCTACTCTGCCTCAAGTCCGTCCATGTCCCATCTGGGCAGGTCTTGGAAGCCAACGCATGGAATCTGAGCGAGGCCAGATATCCCCCCAACAGCTTGTCAGTCATCTTTGACACTGCGATCACGCGTCATGTGCTGCTTTGTTCTCACGTTGAGCACTTCCATGCTTCACTCCTTTCTGGCCATTAGGCGCTGAACCTCCTGGTGGGGGACGCAGCACCACGGCATCATATGGCATTTAGGGACACCGAGCGATATCGAAAGAGACTCTGTCTCATTGTGTTAGGCTAAGTAAGCCTAAAATAAGCCTCAGGGGCTCGTCTTGGCCTTAGGCCGGTCATCCAAGCCATCGTGCATCCTACCAAGAGAGGGAGAGATTTTACTTTGAGACATAGCTATGGGCTTCAAGTGTGCTTGTGTTTTTTTTGTTTGCGTGATTACGCAAACTGAAGGCGCCCGAGCCACAGCGAGCGGCCATGCCGGCACAGCAGGCATTGTACCAACCACCAGCCATGGAGCCGCCAGCAGCAACAGCACGAATACCAGCACCATTGGCGCCTACGGGGACATTTGCCACGGGAACCTTCGGCAGAGGCTGGGGAGCATGAGCCTGTCACATGTCATTCGGGCACGAAGAACCCAAAGTCCTTTGAAGAGACCACAAACGGCATCCGGGTTCCTGGCAGAACTCGGCTCGTTCCAGGCCTCGCGGCGAACCAGGATGATGACGTTCGCGCGCCGATGCGAACGGGCTTCCATGACCGGCCAATGGCGATTGCAATGTCGCGTTGTCAGGTTGATGGGGTCGCAGTAAGGTTGCTGCACCTTCCACCAGCACTTCCCAAGAGCCGACCCGGAAATCTTCCATTGGCTATAGTTTTTGGGCACCGTTCCAATCCGATGCGTTACGTTGACCTAGGACGCCAGTTGGGCCCAGCATCCAACAATGGGATCTAAAACGTCACTGAACCCTTAACCTGCATAATTCAAGGCCAACTCATAGGGTATGGAATGTGAGTTGTCTGCCATCATGTCTTTGCAGTCAGCATCGTGAAAGAAGAGTAGGAAGGATGCAGACAGCCCTCCTGGTGACGACAGCAGCTGCAAGTGGCATTCATCAATAAAGCATTATACGATGACAGCTTGCTTGTTACTGTGCACACAGCATGAATAGCCTGAAAGGCATCAGCAATGAGATGCCTTTTCTGTGCAGGTTCACCGTTGCCTACCATTGCATATCCCAGACTCCTAGACATGCCTTTTAAGTACTACTACCGCCCTCACCATACCTCATTGTCGAGACGCTTAAGAAGGGTGAAAGTGGAAGCGGTGCAAGCATAGACGTTACAGATCGGTACAGCATTTGGGACATGGCTTTGTCGCGCAAAAGGGTAACTTGCGCCCCATCTCGACCACAGTTCTTCCCCTTGAAACTTCAGATGCCGCGCTGCGGACATGAAACCAGAAGATATGATGCCAACTTCCCCCCAACATACAACATAGTACAATCCAAATTCCTCATCTAGGCCTCATGAAATCTGTCTGGCGCTAGGAGACGCTTCTTTCTGCCGACCCAGTCCAGGAGAGGCGTCAGGCTGGAATCAACTCCCGTAAGGTTGTAGGGCCGGTCAGAGTCCCGCTCGCCCAAGTACATTGCATGGTGCCAATCTTCACTACTAGAGGCCAAGGTGAATACATTCCGCATGTCTGGGGAGAGAGGGCAGGTAGTCCCCAACTTTACATCCTTATGGTTTGAGGAGAGCAGCCTGCGAGATCCTTGTTCTTTGTATTGGATCCCTGGGTGTTCAGCGAGCCAGACTCTGGGTGCATATGCCAAGGCCTCTACGGTTCGGGTTTGGGTTGTGGTGATAGGCTCGGGATCTGGAATCGCATGGTTTAGGTTTGGGTTGTCGCAGAACCCACGTTAACAGGAAGAAGAGCGGGAGGCTTATCGGAAGAAGATCGAGGCCCGCGAACTGTCGGTTACTGTTTGAGGTGTAGAACTCGACTGACATTCGGCTCTTGCCAATGGGACGTCCTGTGCCCTACCTGGGCTACAACCTGCAAGAGATGCACGACACAGCCCGACGGTTTGAAGCTTCTGAGACTCAGATCGGATGCCGCAGTGAGGCTGTCCAATCCATGTTGCTTCCTGTTGCGCAGTGTTTAGGTGGTATCTTCAGGTGGTGTGCATGATGAGGGCCCATCTTGTTCCATAGGGCAGCTCTTGAGGTGGTGCACCTCTGTTATGTGCTTGTCATATGATGCATCTTGGCCAGTGGTACAGTCGAGCATCACGATGTTGAACCCCTCCGCTCCAGCCTTAGTGGAGGCCGAGCGCATCGCTGCCGAGGAGCGCGCCCGACAGCAGGAGGAGGAGAGGTACAACAAGGCAGGTACTATTATCACTAAAACATATAAGGGCTAGCTAGGAGCCGTGGTTCCAAAGAGTGACTTGCTCTGGATTCTCAGGAAGGTCCATGTTCGAAGCATTGAACCTACGGCTGAGAAGCTTAGATTCACAACCGCTTTCAACTGTGTGTGTCAGCCTCATTCTCCGCACGGAAGGAAGCTCGTGGAAGAGCTGTTGAGGTACGATATCGGTTGAGAATTAAACCGTGGCCTTATGCTACGCATAGCAAAACAAAGCCTTCAGACCGTGAATGCCACACTAAAAGTCAATTTCAGACAGAGACGCTTTGAGGGCCGGAAAACCCCCCACACCCCCTACAGGCCTATTCTGGCACTCAATCTCTACGCACGGCTCTGCACAGGGCCTGGCCCGCTTGGCAGAGGAGCAGCGGTCCACGGCAGAGAAGCAGGCGCGCGGTGGTGGGCACAGTCTGAAGCAGTGGTGGGCGGTGGTGGGCGGTGGTGACATGTCAAATATTTTTTTTGGCGACATTTTGTTGGGGGAGAGTCATCTTCAAGAATGCCCTTCTGTCCTACACCGCTCGAAGCGGCCTCGACTCGGCCTTGTGTTGCTGAGCCGAGCTGCAGTGGCGTCGGTGTCAGGAAGTCGGGAGTTGAGGTTGCAGAGAAGCCGGGTTTGTGTGCAAAACATCTTCCCGCCCTTTCCTGCCATAAGCCTTTTCATTTGATTTCTTGGGCTTTTGGAGCTTAGGGTGCAAGGTCCTTCCCACCAAATAGCTGAGATGTTGAGGCCCTGGAGCGTAAGAAGCAGAAGATGGAGGAGGAGCAGGCAGGATTTCATTGGCGTGCTCTTGTGGGGCAAAATAGTCCACCGGTCTTGCTGATCTTGCTTTGTCAGAAAGAATGTAAGCATCGGCGATATGGTTCTGCACCGTTCGTGAACTGTTCTGCCAGCCAACCAACCCTAAGTCCCTAACTGACAAAGTAAGACCCCAAGCAGTGAGAGACCATGTGAGCCCGGAAGTCTAAAAGTGACGACAGTTTCGCATGTGTCGAGCCCAGACATCCAAACACGATGACAGTTTCGCAGTTCGCGAGCATGCCCCGAAAAAAACCCATGGTCCACAGCCCGTGCACGAGCTCTGCGCGGTGACATCCCCCTTGCCCTTGACGTTGGAACCCTTAATTGCAAACGCTTGTGCGTGTCACCTCGGCAGCCGGGCCGGCCCAGTCCCGGGTGTAGCATGCGCATCGCAGACGCGCAGACGAGGGAACGCCACAAGGCAACGCTTGGTCACAGAGTCCGGCGTGGGCGGGTGGAGGCACTCGGGGCCGTTTTTTTTTTAGCGCCCTCTGTGGGAGTTTCCGCGGCATCGGACTGCCGCTCCAGCAGCGGTTCGGACAAATTCCATGGTGAGACGCCGTTTATTGACACACTGTTTGGGGAACTGTTTAAACACTCTGAACTATTTGAAGCGGAGGTATCCGGTTGCAACTAAACAGCCGTGAAGTAACGATTGCAAACCAGCGGGACTGTGCGACTGCGGTAGAGCTGCAGAGCCATGCCATACAACCCCCGACTTTCAAGACTGACCATAGAGCGCTCCGTCCAAACAAGTCTATGGCATCCAGCATCCGCCTTGAAACGAACTCGGAACCCTTAGGCAGCTGGTTCGGCACGGGGTGACCTAGAGAATTAGAGAATCCTGGAGATGAGTTCGAGGAGTGTTCTAGAATTCCAGCATAGTAGATAAGCAAGCAGAAGATGACTACGCTGGGAGATCAAGGACTCACAGGGAAGTGCGAGTCATGTGTTTCATGTCTTGTTTCAACAGAGCATTCAAATGACGAAAACATGGAAGATGTTCCAACATCCCAACGCAAATATCGCTAGTTACACTTGAAGATGGCCTGCCGAATCCTGCATCAACGAACCCCAAAACCGGTCCCTTTGCCACAGCCCACCCTCATTTGAAGCGTGCCCAAACCATTTCAAAGTGTCCCAATATCCAGGAGGTACAGCAGGCTTGAAATTCATGCACACCCAGCGTCCATCGATGCAAGGCCAGAGCACGTCAGAGGCGGAACGATCGGCGAAGGCCGCATGTGGGTAACAATCGGGTTCGAGAACTTTGTGAGGTTTGTGGTGGTGAAAAATGTGTCTTTCAGGTTAATGGATTAGGATTTCAGGCGTGGGTCTTTTGGGCATTAAGCTTTGTTGTACCTTGATTCTACCATGGCTAGACTGTTGGCTGGGTTCAAGGTCTTCCAGGACTTTTTTGTTAGATTCCGCAGAGGCTTCGCAAGTTGTTTCGCAGTTCTTGGATGTTCTTAGCGTCCGTGCCCAAGTTGTGCAGGCTTTGGAGTGCTTGAATCCAGAGCCCTGCAAGCTCCCAAACGGGCCGGAACCGGAACCTCGAGCCCAAAAGCCCGCAAGTTCCCTGAAGCCCTAAGCCCTAAACCCTAAACCCTAAACCGGAAACCCTAAAAACCCCAAACCCTTAGACCATCCTAAAACCCCTCAGCCGTAGATCCAGAAGCCTAAATTAAATCGCAATGGCCTAGCAGGGACGACAGCGAGGAGGAAGAGGAAGATTTGTGTGTCGCGCCACCGATGCTGCCGGGAGCCACAGTAGAGCTTCTGGTTGGCTTGTCCATGCTGCCTGTACAGGCGCCAATGCGAGAAAACACAATTCACAAAACAAAGTACAACCGTGTCTTTGCAAAAGCTAAAATAGACGGCCCAAAATGCCCCAAAACCCTCATAAGAACCCTCGTACGAGAACCGTCCTCATAAGGACCTTCATAAAGCCCTCATAAATCCCCCATTAAAGCCTTCATAACCCTCGTAAACCCCTCATATGAACCCCCTAACCCTAAGCCCTACCAAAAATGCCCCAATAGGTTGGCTGATCTCTCCGCGCAGCTCGCTGGCGTGGAGGCGTGGAGAAAGGGAGCCTCTCGGGCAAAGCCTGGTCGGTTGAGGGGTTAGGGTTCAGGGTTCACGGTTAGGGTTCACAGGGTTTATAGGGGCATCGTAAGTGGGGCGTAGCATAGAAAGTGTCCCTTCCGTTCACAATCCATGCCAAACAGAAATAACAGAATAGATCTCTGGGGGTCGGCTGAACATGACCGAACCCTGCTACTTGACGGAAGCCACAGCGCCGCCACACTTCCTTCTCTCTCTCTCTCTCTCTCTCTCTCTCTCTCTCTCTCTCTCTCTCGTTCGTGGACTGAAGGACTAAGTAGGGTCCCCCTCGTGTTTCAGTTGCGTGCGAATATGCCTGCACGACGATAACGTCTATGTTGCCAGGAGAATCGCCAGAGCATCCATGCCCGCACGATGATCACCTCCGTGGTACAAGTGCGTGCGAATCGTCAGAGCATCCATGCCTGCGCGATGATAACATCCATGTCTATTTTGCCAGTGCGCCCCAAACTCCCATGCCTGACACGGCCTGCCGGATGCCATGGAGCCATGGAGGGCTAAACGCCGTACTTTGTCAGGCACGCGCTATTTGGGCCACTACGGGCTATTGCATCTCATGTGGAGGCCGCTCCGGCACCAGAGCCGCCGCCAGCGCCACCGCCAGCGTACATGCCTTACACCTTGGGAGGTTGGCGGCCTTCAAGAATTGAAGTTTTTGATGGGCTTTGACAGTCTGAGGATTTGGGAGCCAGGCCTTGGCAGCACCAGAGGTCATTGAGCTTCTCATCGAATGCGTCATACGATTTTGGAACCTTAGGGCTTCCAAGCCATGAAAATCAATGTAAGGTGGTACTGCAAGTTAGAAGAGCTTCGGTCCCAGACTCCCTTCAGCAAAGCTGGAAATACAACAAGACCATAGTGGAAATACAACAAAGCTGTAGTGGACATACAGCACAACCTTAGCGGAAATACAACCAAACCTTTTTTCCACAAAACCATAGTGGAATGACAACAAGACCACAGTGGACAACAGCTGACACCAGCCGGGACGGGACACCAAAGGCCGAGCCGGCCCATGGATGATGACAAGGAGCTCGAAGACATTCCAGTGGCTCCTTCTGTGCCGCTCTCCAGCTGCACTCGGAAGCCGCGAACTCTTGAGACACGAGCAGGTCCGAAACAGCGAAACTTGACATTGTCTCTGTGTTTAGAGGCCTCCTTCTGTTCAGGTGTAAGATCAACATCAACATCAGTTTCCACAGCCTGAATGCCTCAATGCCTGAAAGGGGAAGTCATCCAACTCTCAGCCCTCCAATATTGAAGCATTCGAAGCCTTGCTTCCGAAGGTTGTCAGATCTGGCCGCGGCTGTTGGCACCGGGGAGGAGGCCCCCACACCTGCAAGGGCAATTTTTTACTAAAGCTTTCTATCCTTGAGGCTGAAGATGATTGCTTGAATTGGAAACGATGGCATGCTGCCTTCATCAACACTGTGACACTATGAGCCTGCGATAGTTGAGTGTGCAGGTGTGTGTGTGTGTGGGATATAAACGAGCGAGGTGCATGGTGCATGTTCATGGTGTCAGGGGACAGTGCCACGAGGTCTCATGCCAAGCTTGCGGATCAAAATGAAACCCGTTTAAGCATGGTCATCCCGTCTAGCTCGAAATGCCAGAGGCGCCAACGAAGGTTGCTTAGCAGGTGTGTGAAGAGGGGACTTGGTAGGACAGTCGTCTCCAAGGCGGTCAAGGCACTAAGTCACTACTATCACGAAGTAACTTCAATTCTGTGCTACTGGCGCGATTTGGCTTGAAGCGGCATTGAAGCGCCGTGAAGCGCCGCCCGCCGCCACACGCACACGAGCAATCTTGGCGGTACCGAAAGCGAGCTCATGCAGGCTCTTATTAAGTTAGCAGGGGAATTAGCATGGGCAAGATGATGTGGTAACATGTCCTGCTTCGCATACTGTGCTAGATGCTCTGCCGAACAATGCCCACACCTGAAGCCTGTTTCGGTGCTTCGCGGTCCTGTTGCATGATATCACGTCGTTGCGGATCTGTGACATCCGTGACTCAGCACAAGCATGTATAGGCGTACGAAAGCACATGGTTTCGGTTGCTTCTTCTCAGGCGCAACCTTCTGAGCCGCCAGAGCCGACGCCTGAGCTTTGCAAGAGCTTCTTGAACGGACCGGATACATCCGGATATGATCAGAACTACCTGCCAGGCCCCCTGCGGCCCCTGTGGTCCCTGCGGCCCCTGCGGCCCCCGCGGCCCCTGCGACGGTGCCGGCGGAACCCCAGGAGCCTGCGACAAGCACGGCGATGCCAAGCCGGCCCTTTAAGGGAGTTCTGATAGTTCTGTAAGTTCCACCACTCTCTTCCCTTGGCAGGGGTCCCCTGGTCTGTGTCGGGCCCGCGATCCTCTCGTCCTCTGGCTCTTTTTTCCTCTCGTCACCGTCCAACCCATGACAAAAGCATTGTGGCTTGCAAAAGAGAGAGTGGGGGTTGCGCCCCCCCCCCCCCCCCCCCCCCCCCTCTCCGGGCAAATTTAGTTGCTTGTCCTAGAAAGTCACACCCTCAAAGGGCTCGTCAACAGCCCGTCGATGGGCATTCCCTCACAACCCAAAGGAACCCTTTCCCAACCCATCATACGAGCATCGTGTTTGCAAATGGAACCCCACCCCCCCCCCCCCCCCCCCCGCTCTTTTCCCGCTCTTTTCAGCCGTGCAAACTTGCTTCATAGATTCTCGAGCCTAGGAGCTTAAGCAAAGACTGCAATTAATGTTGCAATTAACATTTACAGCGTATTGCGCTTGTGAACTCCAGAAATGCTGTAACTTGCAGCATATTGTGCTTGTGTCTTTTGTGAAAAACTTACAGCATTTGAAGCCTGTGAACAGTCAAAAATGCTGTAGTTGAGAGCACTTGGAGTTGTCTGACTCGTCAGAGATTCAGTGGTTTGCAGCATTTGGAGCTCAAACAGAAATGCTGTAAGTGCAGTGTTTGGTTAGAAATGCTACAATCTGCAGAATTTGGATAGGAATGCTGAAGGTTACAGCGTTTGGGGCCGTGGAACCTGTCAGAAATGCTGTAACGAGAGGCATTTGGAGCCCGAACAGCATGTAGAGCCTGCGAAAAGCCTGAAATGCTGTGATTTCAGCATTCAACGCCGGCGAAAAATTGCCAGACATGCTGCATGTCATCGCATTTAGAGCCAACGTTAGCAGCGAAAACAAGCCAGGGCCAACCTTCGAAAGAACAAAAACAACTCCGCCCATGTGGTGCTTTCGTTTGCCGCCAAAGCCAGCGATAGCCACCCCCCACAAGACAATGTGGCGAAGAAGAATTGTTGCCAACTCGCTGGCTTCTCGAAGCAGTTTGGTTTCCACATCACGGGTGAGAAGATCCGTTGGCAGCTGTGTCTCACTCGCCTCTGTGTCTCCAGTGCGGCTCTGCGGGTGAGAAGAGAAGCTGGGCCACGGAAAGACAGCCATGTTAGCACCAGCATTGGGAAACCATGCCAGGACGCGTATGTTGAATTCTGCCTGCAAGGGTCTGCCGTCATCGAACATCTTAGAGCCCAAACGCCCAACCTTGAAAGTCCAGCAGCGCAGGGCTTCTTGCCATACTTGCGATGCCAGGCCGCCAGCAGAAGCAAGTCCAAGGACGTCCGCAGAGAGCAAGGCTGATCAGCCATGCAGTCATGCAGCCATGCTCTGATTCTTCCATAGTTCCACAAGGCCTCGCTGCCTGTATCGAGGGGCCTCAACCACATGTCAAGCTCTGTCAAACCAAAAATCAGCCATAACCGTCAAGGGCAAACAGGGAGCTTGGTCCTAGTTGCATTAGTCTGCGATACCTTGACCGTGAACCATGAACGATGAAGCCTCGCAACTTGTGTGTTGCTCACTGTGCTTGGTCGATGTTTATCGAATTTGGGACAGGTGACAGATCCTGTCCTCCAAGCGTTGAAAGATCTGCGAAGACGCTACCGTGAGGTGGCAACTCAAGAAAGTTTTGTTGTGCCAAGGGCCTTGTTAGCACCCTATATAGGCCTTCGGCATTCTGGGGTTCAGGGCTTCGATGACCAGGGATTTGAACTAGAGGGGGAGGTAATGGTTTCACAGCTTCAGATTCGGCCATGAAGCTACTTCCGGCGACTTCCTAGAACGGACCGACCGAGGCCCTTGTGCCGACCTATTATCATTCAAGCCCCAAGGAAGGCTTTGCAGGTCTATCCACCCACAAGAAAAGATGCCATGCTAGGCATTTCATAAAGGTTTCGCGTGCCTGAAGTTTGCCAAAGCTGCCCATCACTCTGCTTGTGCGCCAGGCTGACCCTGCGTCGCTGGCAGCCGCGTTGAGGATGGACAGGGCTTTGGGGATTTGTCGGGTTTGTTCTTCCAAACCTTGGGGTTGGATATTCCGGTGCTGCAGTGCGAAATCGCCTCATGTTCGTCTTAACAACGACCGCGGAGCTCGTCATAGGTCCCCGCTGTGGTTGTGCATTCCGTCGTCATGGTTGGTCGTTGTCGCTGTCGCTGTGATGGTGGAGGAGGATAAGAATAAGAAGAACAAGAAGAAGCAGAAGAAGAATAATAACAAAAAGAAGAAGTACTTAGTAGTACTTACCAGTACTTCGCAGTACTTCGTTGTACGAAGGAGTACTTAGTACTTTGTAGTACTTAGCGCATGCCCTCAGGATTGTCAGCGGCTGCGTTGGCCATCTGGTGACGCATCCGCAGGCACCATGGCAGTTGGGCCATCAATGGCCATGGATCTTGAAGCCGAATGTGACGGGACGAGTTCCCCAGAACTCTTCCGAGTGAACAACCAGCAGTTTACATGGCCAGCAGTCTGCGCAGTGGGAAATGTGTCTGATTGTGGGTTGCCCAATCATGCACACTGCGCATGCTGCTGTGAAAACGCCGGGTCGGAAGTTGAGTTTCCTGGCTGTCAGGAAACCAAATACCATCGCATCAACTGCGCGGGTGAGAGGTTCAGGCGCGACCCTGCTTAGCAGAGCCAAGGTGCCATCTCATAACAATCCGAATGCCCCATGCCAAGACTCTGGTCGCAGTAGGTCTCAAAGGAGATTAAAAGTTGTGCATTTACTTTTGGCGAAGGACCCGCGTCGAGAGCTTGGACGGAGCTGTGGCTGTGTTGGAGGCGCTGGCGGCAATGTGATGCATCAGGTTCGAGCAAGATTGAGTTTGATTTGTGGACCTCTTCACGGTTGTCATTGCTGTGAGTTGGATGCTGGATCCCATCGTTACCTTTGCAATCGAGTCTGCACACATGGCTGCTGAAAGGTGCCACGAAAGAGTCCGGCGGGAGCGCCTGGAAAACAACAACAACAACAACAACAACAACAACAACAACAACAACAAACATATCATGGAACGGTTGCGTGCGCCGCCGCGCCGCCTCGGCAGCCTGCTGAACCAGCTCAGGGAGAACAAATTGGTGGGTACTGGTCCTGGGAGGCATCGGAGTGGAGGTGGAAGCGAGCCGTGGCATCCGGGTTGGCTCCATGCTGATGGGACCGGATCTCCATGATATCCCCGTTGAGGTAGTTGAGGTGGGGGTCTCTTCGGGAGGTTTAGACGGAAAAGTAAAGGTCCCAGGAATGTGCCAGGGACGGGGATCCCAGGATCGTCCCGGATATAGCAGGGGGTTGCGGGGAATGCCAGTCCCAGCCCGCGGCATCAGATTGCGGGTCCTCGAAGCGGCACGGGGGGGCGGGGGGGTGGACTGCAAATTTCCGGTTGGGTGGAAGTGTTGGGAAGGGGGGAAGGAGGCCGGATCCTGGTCTGCTTGTTCTGGACGCCTTTGGCCGGAAGCCGAGGAGAGGGAGGGAGACACAGAGGGGGGACAGACCGAGCGTGTTGAGCCGCAGTCAATGCCGAAGCAAAGCAAAGCAAAGCGGCGCTGAGTGTTCGTCACAGGCCTGTGGCTTCCAGCGAGAGGGGGACAGCCTCCTAGTTCAGGAGGACTACCCCAGGCCAGCCACGTCCTACAGAAGTGGCATTCCGGTTTGAGCTCAGTCTCAACGATTTGGATGATGTTCTGGTAGCCACACAGAAGCCTGAAGAAGCAGCAGGGGGTTGCAGTTCGACATCTCATCCCAGAACCCCAGCATGTCTAGGACTCGTTGAAGGATGTGTCGGAATCTGTTGAGCAGTTTAGACGCGGTCACAAGAATTAAAGTCTCATGAAATGATGGTGAGACGTGTTCCTGGTATTAACTGCAGTGTTTCCTGCATTGTTGCCTGTATGTACTGCTTGATCTGCCTCTCCACACGATAGGCTCTGTCTGCGGGACCCGCTCGCTTTGCAATAGGGGGGCTGAATCTGAATCCAATTTCTGCAAGGATTTCCGAATCTCGCGGACATGTTTATCAGGGTTCAAACGTAAGAAGGGGGGCTGTAAAAAATCTGGCCTCTTGTGTGCCTTGAAGTTGAGGACGCACGGACTACAGCTCCGAGATGCGAAGGCCAAAGTCGACGACCTCCCGGCCTCGATTTCTGGTAACATTTGGTGTGGGTGGGCGGGGGGGCGGGTGGGGGGGGGCGCTCCGCAAGTACCGAAAGCTCCTTGACTGCGTCACGACTTAAAACACGATCCCAGGCAGTTCACAGATCTCACACTTCGCAGAGTTCCATGGCCTTAGATGCGGAGAAGGTATGTTCACAGGCTGGCAAGTACGGTCTCTTCCATGGCAGGTCGTCCTTGGAGAGCTCGAGGCGGCAGGATACACGGGCTGAGCACAACTGGTGCGCCGTGGACTCTGGGCCAAATTATTCATCTCCAGGGCAAGCATTGTGAAGCTAAATGACGAGGCCCCCTCGAACCGGTTTCTGAAAGCGTTGGAGACTGCATCAGGACGTGGCGCAAACGCAAGTGATCCCTTGCCCAGTCTGCAGAGGGGGGCGAAGGCAAAAAAGGACCAAACGCTGCTCAAGGGTTGCAGAACTGTGGGCCCCTAGCCCAGCTTGCAACCAAAACATACCAAAACTACACGGACAACTTCAGCTGCTGTTGCCACCATGTTGCCGAGACCAACGTCGGGATTACACGCAGCTGGCTCAGGGCCCCCTAGACAGATCCGCCATGGCGGCGCTGCGCCTTGGCTGCGCGCTCCTTGCGCTCGGCTCGGCCGAGGCAGGAAGGTGTAGAAGGGAGGAGAAGGCGAGAGGCGCAGGGGAATACATGGGAATGGCTAAAGAATCTGTTGCTTGCCCTGAAGTGCAACTCGGCGTGCGTTGCCCGCAAGTGCCATGTTGAAGGATGTTGGCCTCTGCCGTAGTTGCCATACTTACCTTGATTTGTCTTTCAAGGCCTCAAAAGCCCCGAAAGGGCCCGAATATCCCATTCAAATTATTGTAAGGGGCTGCACGTAGCACTGCTCCCAAACCTGCGATGGGAAACCTCGCAGGCTTTCCTCGCGCCCAGTGCCCCGCGGACGCCACCTACGTCGAGCCCCACATGGTCCGCATCATCGGCACCGCTAAGGGCCCAAGGATCAAACAGGCACCTTGACAGCACGTCTGTTCGAGTCTTCTGGCTTCAGTTCCTTCCGGTTGGCGCAGAAGTTTTTGAGGTGCAGGGTTCGTAGGGCTCTGACATGGCTACATCGTCGAGGAGGGGAGCTGAGCAGAGGGGGAACCGAGCATTGCCGCACTGCCTGAAGGTGGACGCCTCTATTGGGACTTGCAGGCACGGAAGAGACCCTCCGGAACGGTTTGCGCTGTGGTTTCCGTGGGCCTTACTTACATGAGTTTGCAACTAGTTCCCCGGTTAATTGCCTATGTCCCATATCTGAACTAGTTGAAGCCATTCAGGCTACTTAACAAAAAGTTGCTGCACAAAGTTGCTGCCGATGGAAATGTCATTCTCCCCACCCAGTAATAAGCTGCGCCGTAAAGTATTTATGTAACGGCTGTCCGGAAAGCCCGTCTTGTCGGAAAGCTACGTTGCTGTTTTTGTTTTTGTTTTCCCGGGGTTTAGGTTGGTTTAGGTTGCCCTCGACTGAGAGACAGTCAACAAGTCGACCCAGGAAGCTTCACAATCTTGAAAGCATTTTCTTTGGACTGTTCATGGAAAGCTTTGGGGTCGGGGGAGGCTTCGTCCGGGCCCAAATTTCGCCTTGACCTGGCGATTGGCAGGCGTGTTGGTGATCGGGGCCGTGCGCTCTCAGAGACAGACATCCCCAACAACCATGTACTTTAAGAGGAAGTACGGCGGCCCAATCAAGAAGGACCGGATCACTTAGGTGGGGGTGGACGCTGGGCCGTCTGCGCAGTGTCAGTCTCATGTTGAAGTTTAAATGTGTCCAAGACACATCGCAAGCTCGTCTTCCCGCTCAGGACCCGGATGCCGAGTTCGGTCCACAGTACCATGGGCCGAAGGCAATGGCCGCTGCATGTGCTGCTATCTTGCGTCATGAGAGGAGCCCAATACTTCAAGGTACGTGAACGTGTAGGTTTCTATGATCTTGGGTCGTCTGGTGATGTCCAGGCCATTTCTTGGCTTCGGGTTTCACAAGACTTGAGAGGTCCCCTACAGCTCCCAGGCTCAATGGCTCAGGCGACTCACGCGACTCACTGCCGGTAGCGCCTCAGGTCCCATCAAACCATGAGAACCGAGAAGCTTTTTCCATTTTCCAAAGCAGCCATTGCCCAGCGTTCCTCGGCCCCAGCATCCCAAAATTACCTCAACGCAATGCAAAATCTCCTGGCATTAAGGAAGCCAACAGCATAACTACAGCAAGGAATTCCCGCAATTAGAGCACAACGGATCACACATGCCGCCGAGGTGAAATGCGGTGGAAAAGGGCTGAAAGCAAGCCTGTTCTCCCGCAAAGGAAACTGACCACTTGCTTGTTGCATGGATGCACCGAGCATTCTGTGGCAAGAAGTGCGAAGAGCACGCCAAAGCGAAAGCATCACTTCGTGCGAGACAGATGTTCAACAGTGCGGTCTTGCCTCGGCCCACATCATAACACAAAAGGTTGGCCCGCAGGCCCACAGGGTGGGACTTGGAAACAAAAACCCATTTTTCATGTTGCCGACACATGTCGTCACCGCAACTGGGCCGATGGCTGCTATGCATCCACTTCGTACTCAACCCAAGCTCCGTCATGTTCAGAAAATGAAAACGCACTTGAGTAAACGCACCCAACATAGTCACAGTCCTCATGCCTCAGGGAACCGGCGGAATCCAGCGATCGTCCCGGTTGGGATTCCCCAAGCTTCTTGCCCTGCACACGGGGAGGTTTGGTGGAAGGGAAGGCATGGGCGGTTTTTGAGTTTCTGTCGGCCCTCTATTAGATCTCAGGACAGTCCCTCAACCCTGGAAACCTTAACGCTCCCCTCGGAGCCGATACTCTAAAGCCCTCTAATACATTGGCCTGGTTCACTCGGACGTGTGGCGGGCAGATTCTCAGGGTTGGTGTGCTCTTGACATTGGATGGCAGCGGCATGCCACGCTGTACAGCTTGGCTGGAAGTTCGACGCTCGTGGAAACCCCTGAATTACCGGACAGAAGAGAGCCTGCTTCCTGCAGCTCTCCAAAACGCGAGTTTGGCCAGCGGAGGTGGGGTCAGCAGCGCGTCATCCCAAAGCTCAGCGGTGGCTCCTACGAGTGAGCTTAGCGGCATTTCAGAGTTGGGTGGAGGGCGGGGGGTTCAGCAGCTCTTGATATGAGGACTCGCTCACTGGCGACATAGGAATCCTGAACAAACAACAGTCATCAATTGTCAACGATGAAGCTGCTTGTCATGAACTGGCATCCTGGATCAGCGTTCGCTCGCTTCGACACCTCTCTTGCGCGCAGACGTGCTGCAGGTATCGAAAGAACATGATGAGGAATCTCACAACCCATCTCATCCGCCTCGGCCGCATCAAGACCACACGTGCGAAAGCTGAGGTTCTCTTGGGAGGGAGGATGAGGGAGGGGAAATCTGAGTTATGCAGAACAAGAGGCTTTAAACGGGTTCAGCAGCATGAGCTTCTAGACTTGGGTTCAACTTTTGCAGGGTCCCTCTTAGACACACTTTTGGCACGTTTTTAGCACGGCCATTCACATCGACTAAATAAAGCCATGTCTCTAAAAATCCCAATGCGACAGCTGCCAACAGCTGCAACCAGCTCCGGCGAGGCGCTGACCCACTTCGTGGACCGCATGATCGTCCTGGCCAAACGAGGAGACGACCTGAGCCGACGTGAGGCGGGTCGAGTAGGGTCGGGCTGAGTTCCGCAGGAGTTCCGTGTCTTCCTCAACTGCTTCAAGGTCCAGGGTTTGCACCAGTGTTTGCGGTCAAGGCCAGGGTTATACCTCTTGAATACGAGCGTTTGCAATCCGAATAATGACAACCCCCAACCACAAATCTCAAAGGCCTTATTTTGCGCCTTTGCCCGAACCCAAGTAAGTTGTTTGAGGTTTTTGAGATCTCTACAAGCCCTGAAATCCAGTCAAGATGTAGGTGGGGGGGCGGGGGTGGGAGTCTGAAATGTGGGGCCACTTTTGTGGACTGCGGAGCTCAAACGTATTTACTGGTGGCTCTTACATTGGGCCCAAAACCGAAACCCCGCAGCAGTCTCAACCCTGGTGTGACTCGACGGCCTGGGCAAGGCCGGCGAGTGGCTCTACGACCAGAGCTTGGTCGACAACCTCTTCAAGCTGGTGGGGCTCTTCTTGACAACAAGCAGTTTGTAAACATCTTCGGTTTTGCGAGAGCTTTCGGGTGGTCAGGGTACAATAGCGGTTGGCGCTCTTTTGCATCCAAGTCTGCGAAGCTGACAGGCTTGAATGCAACTTTAGCCGTTAGCCAAGACATCGGGCCATATTAAAAAGCCATGCCACATGTGTGCTTGTACTGGGGCGCTATGTTTACCCTGAAAGATCCAAATTAAAGCCCCGCGTGAACCGCAGGCACCGGAGCGGTACCCAGATCAGAACGCAGGGTTCTGCAAAGTCACACGAACCATGAACAGCCGCTCACCTGCAATGATAAGGCAAGCGATTGCGGGTTAACCAGGGCTTGGCACAGCACATGAGACAATGTAACAATGTAGCATGCACACACTGTGGCACATACCTCGCACATCTGTACATACGTACATACAGACATACAATATTACTTATAAGAATAAACTAATGATGATAATAATAATCATAACAATAATAATGTATGTATATATATATTCTTGTATTGACAGCACGCACTCATGTTCATCACCTCTGGCACGCACCAGTTTGGTGGATGTCATGGAGAGCTAAGCACCCCATCCAGAAGCCCGAAAATCTGAGAGGCTTGTGGACTTGTAGGCCAGTGGACTTTGGACTCTTGAACTTGTAGGCCTCTCAAAAGTTTAGGCCTTTGAGCCTGCAAAAGGTTTGATGTATCTGGCTGTTCAAGGGCTTATAGGGCGTTGGACGTTTAGAGTTTAGACTGTTCTGTCAGAATGCATAGCGCATGAAAGCACGTCTCTATGGGTTCCCAATCACGCTACATTCTGTGCTCGGCGTGTGATCTTCTTGTTCGCTCGTACCCGGAGCTCGGAACCCTGAGGGAGCCGGAAATCTGCCAGCGAAGAGGAAATCGCATGTTGCTTCCAAATTTAGACTCGGGATGTCCATAAGCAGTATTTTGTTCTCGGCTTCTGGCTACCAAACAGCGCAAAAGGCTTTTGTTTCAACCGAAGCTTCAACCACTTCAACACACACACAGACACCATATGTTATTCAGCATCTCTTGGGGAAAGCCCCTCCTGAACACGAAGAGGAACTGTGAAATGCGTTTCCCACGGATCAGCTTGACGGAATTGGCCCGTTGAAGGGGGTTCCCGTCCAAGGAAAGGGCGACTGGTCCGAGATGGCCTACATCGAGCTGATGTGAAGAGAGCTTGCAGGGTGTAGGGTGCATGTGTTGACACAGGTTAGTACAGAAGGTCAGGTCAACAGGCTAGAGACAAAATCATGTCACTTTCCCAGAAATTTACGTCGTGAAAGATGCAGACAGCATGAAGGCTTGAGAACATTCGAAAGGCTTTGCCATGGTTTGCTTCGTGGCTGAGTTATCGGGTGCCCTCTGGGCTCAGCACCATCCTCCTTGCTGGTCAAAAAGGTCTTGACGGTACAGGGTCTGCCTGCATGGTCTGCACAAAGAGTGACCCGCTTCCGTTCCCCCCCCCCCTCCCAACAGCAAGACAAAAAAAACAAGAGTCCCAAGCAGTCATGGGGCCCTGGAAGGGAAGTGCTCCATGGTCTGCCTAGGATGTTGAAAGTTTGAGTCTCAGCCCAGGCAAAGCCAATAATTGCTTCAAATGTTAAAAAGTTTGGGAGTTCGGTTTGGGTTCACGTGGCTTCTTTGGAGGTCTTTTGGGGTTACCGGGTTGGCAGCAGGGGTCCGCTGAACTCCTGCAAGCGTGCATTCTGCTTGCTGGGCTCGAGCCTGCTGGTGCGCGCAGCCTGTTCGAAGTGGCTCCCACTTTTCTTACCGGCGTGCCTTGTTCTGCATTTGTTGCTTATTTGGCGGGGATTGGGCAACAAGTCGACCAAAAATCGGCCAAGCATGTTAAGGCCCTGACCATGTATTGTCCACACAGGCTAAGCATCCTTATCCAAAAACTTGCGGGTTCTTGCTAGGCAGCGTGCCAGGGACCAACCCAGAAGCAACACATAGGTCGAAAGCACGGTGTGTGGCGCGAGGGGTCGGAGAGGGTAAAGAGATGATTAGCTGGGACTCTTGCGGCGCCATGCCCTCAATGCCCTCAAATCTCCAAGACTTGTCAATAGCCGAGTCCTTGTGCCTGACCCAAGCGCAAAGTCCTTTGTCACCTGTGACCTTGAACACCCTAAACCCAAGGCAACCATGGCCCTCCGCCGCCTCCTTCCGCGCCTGCCCGCGGCGCGCGCCGCACTCAACTCGGCGCGGATGCATGGCCGAAAGAAGGGTTCAAGGTTTAGCGGGGTTAAGCGGGGTCAAATTGACGTGAGGATTTCTTTGTGGCGTTTGGCCCTTTAGACTTGACAGGTCTGCAGCATGCTGGCTTGTAGGAAACCTCTCACGTGTCCTCCCTTCAGTAGGACTCCCGTTTAAACTTGAAGGTGCTCCATGTGTTATTTGGAGAGACCCTGACAGTAATCCATCTGCATAGAGACTGCAGAGCGGGATCAGCGTTCTTTTTTTTTGAAGATGTCAGGAAATTAGCCAGCTGATTAAGGAGAGGGGAAGCGCTAGTACCCCTAGTAGTTGCCTTCATGGGAGAGGGCTCCCTTGAGCTGAGGTTGCTGCATGCCTCGGCGCCCAGGTGCGCATTGAGCGCCAGAATGCACATGCTGGTTGCACATATACAAGAAGCATGATCTTCACTTTGAAGGTTCCGGCTTCTGCAGTTGTGTTTGCGTAGTGGCTGTCTCAGGGGGTGATGGTATGTGCACCAAATGAAAGTACGTACATGTCTATTCATCCTGAATGCCTAAATTGGGTTAGCGGCCGTGAGGTTTCATTCGAAGCATATCAAATCCCCGAGCAGGAATGCTGCAAAAGTGAGCCCCGCCGAGCTCACCAAGATCCTTAGCGAGCGCATCGCCAACTTCAAGGATTCACAGTTTCCGGTCATGGCACCGGGAATGGAAGATGAGTGGGGGGAGGGGTGAGTCATTAAGTGGTGGGGCTGGGGCTTGCAGTTTCCGGATCCAGGTACAGCGAACACAGAGCTGCAAGTTGTCTTAATGATGTGGCCTGTACATCCTTGCACGCCTGACAATACTGAAGACCCCCTTTGAACCCTCTGCATGACTTTGAACATTCCACCATATTGTGAATTCTGAGCTCTTAGGAAGGTGGATGAGTGAGATCCAGAGAATGGTTTGGGGGCCTTCTTCGTAGCAGTGAGACTTGCGGCTTGCCCTGGGCGTTCTGGGCCACAGCAATCCTCTAGAAAGGTCTCAAATGGACTCTAATGGACTCAATCCCTTAGTAGAGACTACTGAAGTACTTCTGGCTTGAGCCCGTTCCCAAGCCACCCACGCTCCAGGATCAGGCAGATGTTCAGGAAGTGGGCCGCGTGCTATCGGTTGGCGACGGCATCGCGCGAATTTACGGTCTCAAGGGTGTCAAGGTGGCTCCTGGGTTTCGCTCTGCTTCCACTTCTCTTCATTCTCTTCCCCCCAACCGAAGCCTGCAACGCATGCGTAGCGCATCACTGATAACAAAGCCGAACAGAACCGTGAATCGCGGCCAAGAATTTCTGTGACGTTCTCTTAAGTGTTGGCACTGGTGTTCTATTCGCACACTGTCATCGGTTCTGTCCTGTTTGCATGTTTTCTTCGCAGAACCTGTGTTTTGTCGATCTGCGTGTCTTCGTACTCATGTTGACAGGTGTCGACGCTTGTGTATCATATTGCTGTGACTCAGAAGTCCAAGGTATGTAACGGGCCCGGGGCATCTTTTGCGTCATAGGGTTTGTAACAAAGCCGTTCTGCTTGCGACAAGCCCGCAAATAGGTCACAGAGACAGGTCCGAGGCACACGTATGAAACAAAGGGGGGGCCGAAACTCGCATGCGGCACATTGATGACCATTGCTTTGCTTCAGAGGCACATCTTGTTCACATTGTCGAATTGCATCGGTTCGTGTCTTTGTCGCGACAGCTACAGCCGGCGGAGCGTCAGACAGACTTAGACCCCAATCTCAAATCTGAACATCTCTTGGGCCTAGTCGATAGGGCCTCACCCCGAACGTCTCTCAGGCGGGCGAGATGGTGGAGTTCTCTAGTGGCCTCAAGGGCATGGCCTTGAACTTGGACCCCTGCACTGCCTTTGAAAGGGCGGGGGACATGACGGGACATTCGGTTTTCTCAATGACAGTTTGGATGCGAGTTGCTTCTATCGCTGTTTGGAGTTCTTCGGTGTGTCCACGGGCTCTCACATCTGGGCCAGTCGACATCCTCCCTGAAATTCACGGTGCTGTGGACGGAGGAGACCGACAATGTGGGCGTCGTCGTTTTCGGAGACGACCGCGCGATCGTTGAAGGTCAGCAAATCCGCCAGCCTTAGGAGTAAGTCAGCCTGGCTCAGCAGTTCAACTTCAAGCGTAGACTCGCAGGTGACAGTGTAAAGTGCACCGGCACGATTGTGGATGTGCCGATTGGCGAAGAGCTGTCCGGTCCTGAGACACAGTGAGCACCCATTCCCACTCCCCTCTTGATTGAGATGGCTCTGCTAGTGACGGCGACTTGTGGAAGCCGGAAAAATCCAGCTCTGGGCACTAGGTTCCGAAGCCTGGACCAGACTCGTGCGACAAGATCTCTTAACGGCAGAGGGCAAACGGGAACAAGAACGCTCGCAAAACAAAGTCGTGAAGAAGGCCCTGCACAAAAGTTCTCAGGCAGAGTGTCCCAGTGCGCCAGAATGCACTGTTTTTAATGGGGTGTTTGAAGTCGTTCAAGGACGCCGCGCCAGCCAGTGCTAAGAATGGGGTGTGTTGGTGGGGGCACAGCATTGATGCAAGATGACACCACTCCACCTCAAGGCTGGGCCGTGTTGTGGATGCCCTTGGCACGCCCATCGATGGCGCCGGGCCGATCCAGACGAAGAGCCGTCGCCGTGTTGAGCTCAAGGCGGGACGTTTACAGCATTCGAGCCTTCATGGCCCCCAAGCGCTATCAGGGACTCAAGAGAGTGTCCAGGACCTCTTTGTTCGGGTTTTCAGGGCTCCGAAAAGGGTCTTGGGGACTTCTTGGAGCTCGGGTCGCCCAAGCGCGCAGGCTCCCGGCATCATTCCCCGGCAGAGCGTGCACGAGCCGATGACAGATGGGATTTCAAAGCTACATGTTGCATGCAGTAGGCTCTGACAGCCCTCCGTGTGAAGTGGTGCTGGAGTGTAGAATCACAGTGTAGAAGACTGCAGCTGGTAGCACTGCAGAACTGCCGAAAGCACGACTTGATGAGCTGACAGCTGCAGGACCACAGGCCTGAAGGCCGTGGACAGCCTGATCCCGATCGGCCGCGGCCAGCGGGAACTGATCATTGGTGACCGTCAGACCGGGAAGACGGCCATCGCAATCGACACCATCCTCAATCAGAAGGTCTGCGAGCGCGCAGCATGCTTCGCGAACGGGGTTGACGGTGGCAATGCATTCAGGCCATCAACGCCTCGGCCGACAAGACGGCCCACCTGTACTGCATCTACGTGGCGGTAGGCTCTCGCAATCTGCTGCCCCATTTGCCCCACTTGTAAGTCGCTTGCACATCCCACTGCAAGTTGGTCTCGGTACGGCGCGCGGCGGGCATGGCACGCGCCCTGTATGTTTTCCAGGTCAGAAGCGATCTACTGTGGCACAGCTCTTCGAAATTCTGCGAAAGAATGCCCCTTCACTGCATTTAGCTTCGACCCGACTCTGCGCACATGTTCCCATCAGAGCTGGGTTAGCATGGTGAGTTGTCACGGCACCTTGGTCTGAAGAAGGCACGGCTGTCTCCCATCATTGCTGTCACGACACTCGAACACCACTTGTTTGCTTCGATTTTGCTGCAGGACTGCTTGAAGTACACTACAGTCGTGGCTGCCACGGCCTCCGATGTCCGGGTCACAGAACTTCTCTTTCAAGCCACAAGCAAACACTGCATGCAGCTTGTGCCGACTTCTGCCTACCTTCCACAGCGTTCTGCTACGTTTGGTTTGATATGAACACTGCATATTTTTGTCAGCCTCCTGAACCGGCCACTCCATGAGATGGAGACCGGAGAGTGTTCATGTCACGACGGGATGTTGAGGTTCTGGGTTTGCATATCTTGAGGGGTGGGCACACTACCCAGGAAGCTCCAGCCCCGTGAGAGTGCACAGTGTACACCGTTGGCCGGGTGTGGGGCACGCATGGCATGGTTGCCGACGATGAACAGACCGCCTTTGGGGCCAACATGCTTGCGGGCGAGCGTATGACAGCGGAGGAGATTCCTTGGGCAGCTTGCAGCTTGCCCTATTCGCATCGGACGCATGACACGGGGCAGCTACGCGTGGCAGGGGTGGCCGATTGTTGAGCTCCACGACATGCTTGGGTCCTGTGAGTGAGTGCTTGCAACAACGAATCCGAGCAAACGCAGACTTCCTCTTCTGAGATCAGTAGCTGTCAAGCCAGCAGACTCGATTCTTCACATGCAAATTGCGAAAGCCACAACGGGCTGTGCGAATCTGTGGATGACTGTGAAACACGAGATCTCTTAGGCCGCGCCTTTGCAGTTTCTGGCGCCGTACACCGGCTGCGCCATGGCGGAGTACTTCCGCGACAATGGCAAGCATGCAGCAGGAGTCTAAGGGGCTGCGCAGCTTGTGCACAGGAATGTGATATTCTTGCAGTGTCAATCTTAGTCTTCCGCAACCTGCTCCAATATTTCCATTGCATAAGGTCATCTTCTACGATGACCTGTCCAAGCAAGCAGTGGCATATCGTGCCGTGGCAGCATCTCTTCAGATGCTCAGATAAAAAGGGTCCTGTTGCCGTGCAAAAAGGTACCCATACTATCCTTACAGCACTGGCCTATCTGGTTCAATGAAGCTTCAAATGCACCAGTCGCATCAATTGACAGCCATTCCCATGATTCCATGAAAGCTGCTCGCATTCTGACTGCTTCTCTTTGGATTCTTTTGGTACATCAGGCAAACCCTGGATCTGGGAAGGGTCACCCATGAAGCGTTTTCTTCTGGTTGAACTCTGCATCAGAATGTTCAGTTCCCTTCGCATTCGATTTGTCAGATGTAGACAAGTCTTGTTGGGGCAGTGCCGTGTTTGGAGGGCGCTGCAAGGTCAGATGTCACTGCTGTTGCGGCGGCCGCCAGGACGCGAGGCCTATCCAGGCCGCGTTCAGATGTAGCATGATGTAGCTCAGAGTCTTCTGTTCCATGTTCGGACTCATGTAGATCATACCACCGCTTGCAGTGTTTTGACAGACTTGCTTCTGCATGGCACGTAGGTTGGCACACTTGATTTCGAGACATGAAAACATCGCGGGGAGGGCCCCAATCCAACGTCAACTCGGCAGCTTCCCCAGGTCCGCAGCCCCAAGTCCTCCACCCTAATTACCCCAAAACGTAGAGATAACCATAGATAACCATAGATACCCTAGCAGCCCTAGCCGCCCTGAAGAGGTGATGTCTTCTATTTGCACAGCCGCTTGCTCGAACGTGCGGCCAAGATGAACGAGGCCAGACTCCGCGCGGAACCCGACTCTGGATCTGAGGGCTTGCTGCGCAGTATGGTCAGTTCTCAAAATTAGGGTCCCTTGTTGGCTTTGGGTACCTTGCCTAAATAAGAGGTGCCGCCTCTATAATAAGGACCTAACAAAGGACGATGATTTAGGGGAAATCACCATATGTTGTGGACTTGTGCATGTCGGCCAGACCACTCATGGCGGTGGCTCCCTTACTGCCCTGCCGGTGATCGAGACGCAAGCCGGTGACGTCAGCGCCTACATCCCCACCAATGCAGCATGGTCTCCAATTTGGATTTGTTGTGGGCTGTCCAAGCGAGCAACCTTTTTGTTGAAGCTCTTGAAAGGGGTGACGTGTGGTAACGTTCCAGGAGGCTGAACCCCATCCACCAGCTGCACCCTTCGCATGATACATGGACGTGTGCGTCTGATACCCCAGGCTTAACCATGGAAATAGCGCTCAAATCTTCGTTCTAGCAGGTGATCTCTATTACCGATGGTCAGATCTTCTTGGAGACGGAGCTCTTCTACAAGGCAGACGCAACAGACTGATTCAAGAATCATTGGATCAGCTTGGAGCAGCTTGGGTTTGTGGATTCTTCTTCGTGTTTCTTCGTGTTGTCCTCTGACTTCAAACATTGGAGCATTGAATTGTGCTGGGGGATTGTTTCAGTGCGAGCGATGCGGCCTGAAACCGCAAGTAGCTGTGCCCAAAAGCAATCGCCTGACCCTAGATCCCCAAATCCTGCCTCCAAGCAGTCCAAGCATGAACCCAAGGGAATTGGAACCTGCTTCAACTGCCAGGGTATCCGTCCTGCTGTCAACGTCGGCCTTTCCGTGAGCCGTGCCTTGGGCCTTCTCTCAGGGTTTGGCCGGTTTAGGGCTTCCGATGTTTGGATTGTATGGTTGGTTTGAGGCCGGCTGCAGTCATCTACGATAGCCAAGCACCGTTTTGGGTGCAAGATGGCAACCAGAGTTATAAGAAGCACAGGGTGCTCGGAAACGGAGGGCCCATTTGTTCGGTACTCGTTTTGCTGGGGCAGCCCAAGCTTGCAAAGCAAGCCCGGCGCACATGTGGAAGCGTTGCCCAAGTTGGTAACGTCCGGACCCTTGAAGCAGGTCACATGTTGTAAGTACGGCAAGAATTCTGGCCACAGAAGCCCCTAGTTCACAACTCAATGGTATCTGTCCAGGACATACTTTGCCTGCTGGACAGGTTCACGAAGCCAGCTCCAGACACCCTAAACCCTTACTAAACCCTGAGCCCTGAACCCCTAAACCCTAAACCCCTAAACCCCTAAACCCCTAAGCACCTAAGCCCCTAAACCCCTAAACCCCTAAGCCCCGAAACCCGAAACCCTAAACCCTAAACCCCAAACCCCAAACCCTTACTAACCCGTACTAAACCCTGAGCTCTAAACCCTAAACCCTATAAAGCTTGAACCGAAGGCGTGGGAAGCGCAGCCCAGATCAAAGCCATGAAGCAGGCAGGATTTCGGAACCCAGATGTGCCGCATCGTAATCTTTATGAGGCACACCCTGCACTACTGGCCCTGCAGTGCCCTATGCGCATCTTAAGTCTTAAACTGCCCTGAAATGAGAGGTGGCTGGCACCTTGAAGTTGGAGCTGGCGCAGTACCGTGAGGCCAACATCATTGAGGGCGCATAATTTGAGCAACAAGACCTTCAAAAAAAGGCCTTCGGGGGCTCTGTGTGTGTGTGTGTGTGTGTGTGTGTGTTTGTCTGTGTGTGTGTGTGTGTGTGTGTGTTTGTCTGTGTGTGTGTGTGTGTGTGTTTTTGTGTGTGTGTGTGTTTTTGTGTGTGTGTGTGTGTGTGTTGTGTGTGTGTGTGTGTGTGTGTGTGTGTTGTTGTGTGTGTGTGTTGTTGTGTGTGTGTGGTTGTGTGTGTGTGTGTGTGTGTATGTGTGTGTGTGTGTGTGTGTGTGTGTGTGTGTGTGTGTGTGTGTGTGTGTGTGTGTGTGTGTGTGTGTGTGTGTGTGTGGCTGTGTGGCTGTGTGGCGGTGTGGCCGTGTGGCCGTGTGGCCGTGTGGCCGTGTGGCTGTGTCGGGTGCGGGTGCGGGCGTGTGTGCGCAGGTGCGGGTGTGGGTGCGCGGCGTGTGCGCGCATGCGCTGCACACATGCGCACGTGCGCACCTGCGTGTCTGTGTCTACGTATCTGCGTGTGTGCTTGTTACTTTACGCGTCAGTCATGCGGCAAGAAAGAGAGTTTGCAAAAGGGCCTGCCGCAGGTTGCAGCCTTTGCGCAGTTCGGTTCCGACCTGGATGCAGCCACGCAGCACCAGCTGCTGCGAGGCCATTGTTTACCACAGGGATATAAGGCGGATTTTTGCTGGCTTCAATATCACGGCAGGAAGTCTCGAGGGCGCTCCAAACAATCAACTCCAAATCGAGTCTATCTATCAGCGGCGGGGTAGAGTTTGGGGGAGGGGGGAGGGCATGTACAATACAAAATCAAAAGCATACATATATATATATATATATACATACGTGTAATATAGCTATATAGTTGTGACAAGGACCTTCATGCATTATCTGACGGGTTTCTTTTTGAACTACCGCAAGACCCGGCTATTACGGCTAGGGCTTCGGGTTCATGTCTCTTTGCTTCTAGTACAAACCACTAAAGAAAGCAAAGACCTTTACTACTACTTCGCGTTCTCTCTTGCAGATACACTTTAAAGATATAAGATCTAGCGTTAGGGTTTAAGGGTTTAGGCCTTAGTTAGGGCTTATGGGTTTTCGAGACTCACGAATAGAAGCCCTGCGCACCCTTTTTGAGAACGCGGCTTGCGTATAACTGCAATCAACGCAAACGTTGACAGAAAGCCGCTGCACAAGAAAGCTCCTTTTTAAACAGTGCTCAATTTGCAGCAGTACCTGTAAGTGTTGCTCTGGTTGGTTGAAACCATGGACTGATCTAGCCCGCACACAATGCTGCACAGAATCGGGATGGGGACGCACACGGGGGAGGGGCCTCTCTGCACCTTTGTATGCGAGGACCGCTTCAGATTGTTCACTGCATCTGTCTACTTGTGCATAAGACCCGCACGCCCGGTTTTCGTGATGGTGCCTGTCTTCACAGCATGTTGCCCCTACCGCTTCGCAAGCCCTGACCTCTACAAACAACCGGGCAGCGGAGAAGAGGCGGAATCCTGACGGAGCTGCTCAAGCAGAAGCAGCAGCTCGGATCTGGAAGCCCATACGTGCGGCTCTGGAATGACTTTGGGTATCTGGCAGAAGACTTCAATCCCGAAGTTGTCAGGCATTCCCCTTTCACTTAGAGCAACTCGTGATTTTCCAATGGGCTGTTATGATTTTTCGGTGTGGTACGCTGCCGTGCTTGCAGGCGCAGGCGACGCAGTATAGGATCTGGATTCACACGACCTAGGTTTGTGCCTATGACAACCGCGGAGATCATCGTCTCTCTGTGGGCAGGAACTCGTGGTTATCTGGACAAGGCTGGGAGTCGCTCGGTGAGCGGGTGCTTTCCTGGCCCTCATTGTTTATACGAGGGTCGTTAGCAACTCGCACCCGCTGCCAAGAACCGTGCCTCACTTGTAGCAGACACACAAATGCCTCTGTACAAACCCTAAACCCTAAACCCTAAACCCTAAACCCTAAACCCTAAACCCTAAACCCTAAACCCTAAACCCTAAACCCTAAACCTCTAAACCCTAAACCCTAAACCCTCTCAAAGACGGGAGCAGAGATGGGAGCAGCTGGCAGGTCGCGACCAAAGAGATCCTGCGGTTCGAGTCCTTGTGGCTGAAGCACTTCAAAGACACCAAGGGTGACGTCCTTAAGGCCCTCTGAGTTTAGGGTTTAGGGTTTAGGGTTTAGGGGTTTAGGGGTTTAGGGGTTTAGGGGTTTAGGGGTTTAGGGGTTTAGGGGTTTAGGGGTTTAGGGGTTTAGGTTTGGGGGTTTAGGGGTTTAGGGGTTTAGGGGTTTAGGGGTTTAGGGGTTTAGGGGTTTAGGGGTTTAGGGGTTTAGGGGTTTAGGGGTTTAGGGGTTTGGGGGTTTGGGGGTTTGGGGGTTTGGGGGTTTGGGGGTTTGGGGGTTTAGGGGTTTAGGGGTTTAGGGGTTTAGGGGTTTAGGGGTTTAGGGGTTTAGGGGTTTAGGGAGGGTTCGCGAGGGTTCGCGAGGGTTCGCAAAGGCTTCATTTTGAGAGCTTCGGGGCGAAAGCGGGTAGGGTTGTGTCGACTTGTGGGCTCAAGGCTCGAGAAGTTTATCCAACGTTTGTGGAACAAGCACCTTCTTTGCATGGAGGGCAGGGGAATCTGCGAGAAACCGAAGATCGTGCGAGCTGGTCGGCTTTTCATCATGCCTTCGGGTACGTAGTCAAGCCTGCGAGCACCTGATAGGAAATTATGGAGAAGAAACAGATCACGCCCGAGATCGAGGGAAGCATCAAGTCTGCCATGGATGAGCACCTCGGGCGGCAGCTATGGCAATATCCATGGACTGTTAAACAAACTGGTTGGGGACATGGACTGCGTGCAGCTTGAGAGCACAGTATATAAGGAATCATACGAGTATCAAGTCCCCAACCACGTCAAGCATTCTGCTCAAAAAGCGTTGTCAGGTTCCTCGGCATGAACGAGTTCGAGGGCAGGGCAGCATAGATGACTTGTCCAGGCCCTGGGAGTGCTCCATCCCTGCCCCCTGCCGGCTTGGAGCAACGAACTCAGCGAAGCAGCTGCTTTGTGGTGGCTAGGTAGTCTGGGAAGGCATCGGAGGCGCTCAGGTGTCTTTGTTGGGCAAGGACTTCCAGAAAGGCTCAGAGTTTGGGGATCATGAAACCTTTGTGCAAAAATCGGTAACAAGGTACCCTTCCCTGGTCCTGTGAGTCTCTAGCCCGCTGAGCCAAGCCACACTTTGCAATGCCGGCATGTTGGATCAGCCGAGCAAAAGCCAAGCCAGGCTTGAAACAAATCCCCATTGCAAATGGAAGGGGCGTTGCCCCCCCCCCCCCCCTCTTTTCCCCCGCCCCCCCTCCCCTCCCTCCACAACCGCTCCATCTTGACCTTGGGAAGCTACATGTAGCTGCAAATACTGGTAGCAATTTTGGAGAATCACGACCGAGTAATAACAAGATTTGAGAAGACTCAAGTACTTGATGCGTCGAGATGAAAGTAGCAAGACAAGTACTCGATGCGTCGAGACGAAAGTAGCAAGACAAGATTGTCTTGACAAAAAAATGCAAGTAGCTTGATATTTGCAATCTCTCCATCGCAAAATCCCGAAGAAAGCTGCTTTCCCAGGCGAACCATGCTTTTAGCATTCCCCTTCGCGAGCAAATCGCCGTTTCACACTAGTCCAAGGTTTACAAACAAGGCGTTTGGATGGGTCGTTTAGCATTCCCCTTCGCGAGCAAATCGCCGTTTCACACACTAGTCCAAGGTTTACAAACAAGGAGGGGGCAACGCAAACGAAGGCTTGGTAAGACCCATCAAAACGCGCCTGGGTCACCGCGATAATGGCTGACTGTCCTTGTGTTTGGAGCCTGTTCTCACTTTCAGCTCCGTCTCCTTTTCTTTCACGACAAAAGTGGGGCACGTCCTGCTCGGATCAGAGCTAAGAACAAACCTGCCAAAACTAGGCCCCCCCCCAACAACAACAAGAAATCTAAAGGACTCCCCTTTCTGCGCCATGGGCTTGTGCAGGTGGCGCCGAACCTGTGGAGTGCGTGACGTGTGCGACCGGGATGCCGCCTCTATAGATTTCTTCTAGTCGACCTGACTCCCACTCCTGAAACAAATCAGGGGATCGCTGCACCTGCACATGTAGGCGAGCAATGGTCGGAGTCGTAGTTATACTCCGAAAGCTGTACGATCCAGCCCTAGACCTGCACAAAACCCGAGCAAAGAGATGCAGCAAAGAGCAGTAAACGCAGAGAATGTCCTAATTGCGCGAGCGAATTGGACATAATTTGGACAGTCTTCTCAAGCCTGACTCACTGACCAGCCTTCCTCAACTTGCAATTGGGACATTCATTCTGGAGAGTTCATGGCAACATGCGTTTTTGGAAGCTGAAAGGCTTTGGCATTGAATAGTTTCATCTCTAGGAAGTTGACATCCACCGGAGGCGGACAAAAGAAGCTGCAAACCTTTTCTGTCGAGCTTTCAGGTGCTCTGGGGAATCATGCCCTAGAGCTCAGACATGATGGAACCGTGTGAACCGGTTCTGGCTCTGAGGTCTGAGGCAAAAAACTCCTTGACATCACATAACCAGTTGGGCTTTGATGCATCAAGGTCACACAGTTGCTCGTGACACGTGCCAGATAATGCAAGAGCCCAAGCCCGAAGATCACGTACAGATTTTCATGCACACTCTGTCGCAATCTGGCAAGCACCATTTTCCAGATCACGCGCACTAAATTCACAGCCAACCGACAGCCACATCAGGCTCCTGGAATTGAGGTTTGAATATGTGCGTGCAAGCATGGGGATTCACAATCTTCGAGTCCTGAACTCTTGCATTCTAGAGGTCTTGCACACTCCAACGAAGCGGGAGGGCATTCGAAAGCCACTGCACTCAGGGCAACTGCCTGACTCCGACGTGTAAACGTTGTTATCAATGTCGGCTGTTGCAGAATTGGGGCTGTCGGTCTCTCTGACAGATGGAGCTGAACTGTTGCAGGCATATCCGGATTAGCGTGTGGATGATGTCTTCACTGCAGCACTGGTAGTGCTCGAGCCGTGGGTTTAGCGGAGCGGAGACTCCCTTCAATCCATGCAACCTGGATCCACGCGAGAGCTCGGCGCGCATGAGCTTGCAAGCAGGATAGCGCCAGGCAGATACCGCACATGCGCAGCTCCGCTGAATAACTGTATCTTTGAGAGGAGTCTCTTTCGGAATTTTCTAATTGGTTATAAACGCTTCTGTGCTTCTTCTTTGTGCATCGAGGTCACTGGAGGACGAGGTCTGGCGGTTTTTGGGGAGGCATTGGATACACCGGGACTCTGCGGCCAGATCAAGGCTATTGCCTCGGGAGCCTTCCATGTCTGTATCTTGTATGAGAACGGGACTCCTGGCAGAGAGCCGCTAAGAGCCGAGCCATGTGATGTTTTAGAGTCATAGATGAGGTTCTAAAGTTGCAAAGTTCGCAAACCCTGATCAACACAGGTGGCGGTTTTTGTAAATCTGGCTTGTTGCTTGGCATTGATGTTTGCTCGGCCTGAGTACGTGGCCTCGCATAAAGGGATGTCCAGAAGGATAGCTCAAGTCTCCAAACGTCTGCAAACCTGAAGTTGTCCTTACAGGACACCTCGCCAAGTCTGAGCTTATTGAAGAGATGTATCGTCTTCTAGTCAGCACTCTACAAAACTTGGTAAAAGCCTGAGGACTTTGCAGTGCTACGGAAGCAATGGCTGCCAACAATGTTCTGTTCCTGCAGATTTGCGAGACGTGGCTATGGTTGCAACAGGGGATCAGCACACATGCGCCGTCACCTCCGCCGGTGGACTTGTTTGCTTTGGGGAGGATCACGCTGGACAGTGCAAGGTTCCGGCCGACTTGGATGCTGTTTGCTTCGTGAGCGCAGGGACCTTCCACACATGCGCTGTAACAATAGACAGGCGATTGGTATGCTTTGGGAGCAATCGATTTGGACAGTGTGAGGTTCCAGAGTTTGCACAGGTAGGTACCGTCGCAGCTGTTGCAGCCGGAGGCAAGCACACGTGCGTCATTGAGAACGGAAGCAGCTTGACGAGGCTTTCGAAAGTAGTTTGGACAAAGCGTGGGGAACATAAGAGAAACTTTCGCTTTAAGAAGCAACAGTGAGTAAAGCCCTCATCCCATGCCCGAGGCAAGCTATTGAAGTGCTTTGGCGACAACACCTACGGCCAGTGTAGTGTTCCAGACGACTTGGGCCCGGTGCTGATGGTTTCTGCAGGACTCCGCCACACCTGCGCAGTAACGGATACTTGGCCCAGTCCAGTGCAGCTTCGGGGCAGTTCGACTGAGCAGTTCGCCAGAAGCTTGCATCTTAAAGTTCTCGAAATAGACACCGTAACAGGACGAGAGGGAGCTTCGAGTTCAGAACGGACGTACCTCAAAATTAGCTTTAAAAATAATGTGTATATACATACATGCATACATGCATGTGTACAGTCCAGATACACGCATGTGCACATATATATATATATATATATACTGTATGCTCACGCGCTCCCCCAAGACCTGCCTCTCGCATAAAAATCGTCTGACATTCCAGATTCCCAGATTTTTCTCACCCCAGATCCCCAGATCCCCAGATTCCCATATTCCCAGATTCCCAGATTCCCAGATTTTCTCACCCCATATTCCCACACTGACCCAGCCCCAGATTCCCACATTCCCTCACCGCAACTTCAGAATATAGGGCCAGCAAATCTGGGTATCTGCGAACATAGGGCCAGCAAAATCTGGGAGTCTGGGAAGGGCAAGCAAATCTCGGAATCTGGGAATATAGGTAGGGCCAGTAAATCGGGCATATTGAATCACAACAATGTTCAAATGCCATTCCAGGAAAGCTAACACACGAAAGTCCACTACGTAAACGGCATATTTCGCCTCAAACGCTAGAGAAGTAACTTAACTGACTAAGTTAAACAAACAAGCCTCTGCTTCTGAGGAGGGCTACTTTGTTTAACTAATTACCTATACGATAAAGCACGAGTTAACATGACAACCACAGCAGAAACAAACACAAGTGCAGACGTTTGATTCTTTCCTTGCGTGTACGTGGTTTTTAGAGTCTAGAGAGTGGACGCTGGTTCTCCTCGTCCATTTTTTTGATTCGGCATTTCAGTTTCAAACAATTGGGAAACATGCTGTTGGAGTGCGAGTGTGCTTGGAGCGCTTCGCGTGCTTTCGGAGCTCGTCGGGAGAATGTGTGCAGCTAAGCAAAATTGAGGTTTACAGCAGCAGCAACCACATGTGTCCATTGATGTGACCACTTCGCTTCGGCGCTGCACTAGCGATAGCTGCATGCAAAATCATGCAGACAAGCTGATGTGACTAAGCCCCCCTGCTGCACGCTGCGAATCCAGGGTGCGCCAGTGCGTGTGCATAGTGCCCTTACTTGAGCTCTCGGCTGGAAACGGCGACCGCTGCTTACGCGCTACTTATGTGCAGCTCACGCCGCACACTGCACCGCGCGCCAAAGCGTGGCTCGAAGACCAACGCTCGGAACGCGAAGGGTGGCTCGAAGATCATTGCTCGATGCGCGATTTTCGGGTGTGGGCGGCTCAAAGATCAGCGCGGTATGCGATTTTCGGGTGTGGCGTGTAGGTGCTGTTCAGTGTTGCTGTTCAGTGTCGCTGTTGAGGATGCCATCGATTTGTGTTGATGCGGCTTTTTGTTGCGTTTAGATGGTGTTGGACATGTTTTCATGCATGTCGAAGTATGCAAAAGTAGGATCTTATGGATGCGGTGGTTCGCTGCTTTTTGATAGTGTTTGACATGGTTTTCGTGCATGTCGAAGTTTGCCGAAGTATGGCGTTTACAAGGTGTTTTGCATGCTTTTGGTGCAGGTGGAAGTTTGCACAAACCCCACACGAAACGTATTGGTGGGACTTGCGTTCCTTCGGGGAAAGGCTTATGCCAGTTCATGGTGGATACCATGTGTGCCATTGTTGCGTTTACCTGGGTGAAGGTTTTGGGTGGGGCTTTTTTGTTGGGGTCGTGGGGCGGACTTCCTTGGAGGGAAGGCAACGGGAGGCAAAGTGGATGGGTCTAGGGCTGCCCTCTGCATAAAGTTTTTGAAATTCATTGAAGAATTTAGTTCATTGCTCAAGATTTAGGTGTTAACTTTATTAGCCAAACAAATTATCTTACCCTCTCGCGCCGTTTAACAAGACCTCATTAGATCACACAACTATTGATCAGCTTGGCTCCGGATATATATATATATATTGATTTTTTGGAGTCAGAATCTACAGTCTTCAAAATTCTGCCAGATACCACGGGGGCCACGTCTCTCTGAGTTGAGGTTTATGCTGTAGAGGAAGAACAGAAATGTATTGCAAGGCCACGGATAAATGACTGGTTATTTGCTCACGGTATTCCCGTGTCGATATCGCCCCTGTAACGGAAAAGCACAAAGCAAGAAAGCTTTGACCGGCACTTAAATATTCATAAGTGGAAGGCGAATATTTGTAGGGGCTAGTTGCGTGAACTAAGTGCTTACATGACACATGTTCTGACACGGTGCATAATTAGGACGCATCATAGACGAACAAAGCTCACAAGCAAAATGTAGAGACGAGAAAAGCTCAGAAGTAAAATGCGTCTTCTTCGAAAGAAAGCTCAGAACTAAAATGCATGAGGCAATGACTTCAAATCCTAAACCTTAAAATATGTATGTAGCTTCTGCATAGCAGTAATACCACAGGAGAGAGTCATTTTCGACCTTAATCCCTTACCTGGGGCTTCATAAAGGCGCACGCCCGTATCTAGGGATACTCACACGAAATGTGCAACTTTGATGCTACGCCCCGGCCTGGGCCTGCCCAGCGGAGACAGGTAAATGTCGGAGTGGCAAAAGCAAGGTGCCAGGCATGGTGGGGTGGGGGGGGGGTCAGGCGTGAATACCTGCCATTCCAGATGTTCGGGAGGGCTGCTTTAGCTACCCAGACACCTTCGGCCCGAGGCCTCGGCAGATGTTTTTAAACTATACTGAATCATGAGGATAAAATCGATGCAAAAATTCCAGAAAACTGGAATTTTCGAGAGCCGAAGGGGCTGTAAATACCATATTTACTCGTGTTGAAGTTTCGTAGCATCGCGAACCGGAATCCGGTCAGCCAAGTAATTACAGCCATGGCATACTATTCATGCTGTCATAAGCCGGCACACTTATGATGTAGACGAATTTATCGGTATCTACTGTTCTTTCAGGAGGTCTCAAGCGCGGCAACATACAGCTACAGATGTAAGAAGAGCAGGAAACACTTTTGGGGGGCGGGGGGGGGGGGTGACCGTATACATACATATTTTTATATATTTGTTTATTTATAGTATGCGTCGCGCATCATTCTGGCCGAATGATGTCAGGAAAACCAAAGGCTCGTCTGTTTCGGGGACGACTGCTTTGGCCAGTGCACTCCTCCGAAGGGGCTCGGTGCAGCAGGTGCAGCTTCTAGAGTGGTTATGTTTGTGGGAATCGCTGTGCGGTGGCTGCGTCGTGCTTGTCCATGTGCGTGTTTGGTGTTTAAACAGGTTCTGCAGTAGCTCTGCAGAAGCGAATACAAGCCATGGCCCGACAAAGTTGAATCCCTTGGGGTGCTTCGGGGTCCTTTGCGAAACACCAGTGTGCTGGACCGTGCTCTCCATTCCACACAACGTGTCCTGCGCCTTGCTGCATTGCGTGCCCGGCACGCATGTGTTTCGCAGTAGGAATCACGACAAAAGGGCTCCAACGCACTTAATTCCAAAACCCACGCGAAAGTTATTGGACTGCCGTCTGTAGCTGCAAGTTCCCGGGCAGTGCATTCGGGCTCGTTGAAAGGTGCAGTGGCTGCAGTCCAGGCAGGAGCCTACCACACGTGTGCCGTGCGACCAGATGGCCCTATGCTCAGCAGTCAAAAAACCACTGCAATGTTTGCGGTCTAGCGGTCTTGTGCAGAAAGCCTTTATCCTTACATGATGCAGTCGAAAAACAACCAACAGTCGATCAAACTTTCGGACAGCCAAGGCTCTGTGGTAGCCTTTGGGTTCAACTCAGCCGGACAATGCAATGTGGCAATGCGCCTGAGAGGGTTGAGAATTGGCCACCTGGACGGCTTTGTTACAGTTGACAGTGGTTGACATCATTTCCCCGGTAGGTAGCCAGGAATTCTTCAAAAGTTGCCGTTTTCGCGCAATAATCCACGAGCGTCATCTTCTGCGGTGCACTGACTGGATTATGTTGTATTTCTCAGCTGAGTCAGCTGAATCCTGCATGGGATAGTGGATGGACACGGATAAACTGTGCAACGACCTGCCGAATGAAAAATCCAAAATAAAGGGTCATCACAGGATTTCCCGACGAATCAATAGGTTATTCATCTTCCAAATGATTTGCTTAGCCTAAATCTTGTTGTAGACGTGCGAATTTCGATTGGTCCCTTATCATATCATGTCTAAGTGTATTATTAACAAATCCTCTTCTCGAAAGGACTATCATCATAAATATGGATGTTGATCGAATTGGTGCAAATATTTTTTTCATTATATTTTGGGCTTCTGGGTAGGAAGTCGATGGGCGAACTATAAATATGGTTTATTGATCGAAGATTCGTAATCATGGGAGATTGGGAATTTCATATTAATTGAGAGAC